AATGAATTTGGGAAATTCATCGTAACAAAATACTTTTTGAAGAGCTTGGCTTTCTCTGTTGCTGTGACATGTAAAAGACTGTGCCCATTCTGCATTTCTGCCACACAGTCTGAACATAAACCACCCCTTACCCATCATCTTGAAATCCATATAACCAAAAAAGTTTGGTGTGTTTTTTTATTTTGGCATTACAAAATTCATTCACACTTAAGAGCCATTTGTGAAAGTCACTGATGTCTCAGGGTAGAGAAGAACCTCAGAGCAACAACTGAAAACAGCAGAGAAAAGCACAAAATTCTGTGTGAAGCAGAGTGGTTTTCAATTTGGAAATGGAGCAATCATCTCTGACTGTTGCTTTTAAACTGCATCCACACATGTAATTATTCTGCATTTCAAATCAGAATTACCAGCAACATTATGGAAAAATATCAGTAGGGATAAAGTCTATTTTGGTGGGCAATATTATCAATGCTTTGCTACCAGTAGAAACAAAAAGCAACCCTCCAAAAGGGAAGTATTTGAAAGTTGGAGGGGAGTTCAACCATCACAAATAGAATATTATTAACAAGTAATTATTTGTTATCAAAGACAACAGTTAAGCCTATCTCTATCAGGTCTGAGTTTGCTTCTCCACTATGTCCTTAAAATACCTCCCAGGACACACACTCAGCACCCTCTGGGGCTATCTGTCCCCCAGATGAGAAAAGACTTTCTGATGTGAAGACAGATGATGTGCAACCGCTCATTACGTTAGCAGTCCACTAATCCTGCCATTTTCCCAAAGAATATGAAGAAAAGGGTTTTCCCCTTTTTCTTTACAGGCACTGTTTAGGTGCAAAAGGGTTTGTTAAATGAGAGCACAACGTACTTGGTGCCACAGGAGCATTTATCTGCGAGGTACATTTGGCAGCCCAAGGAGCCTGATGGGTGCTCCAGCCTCTCCTGAGCAGCTTTATGGTTCGTTGAGCAGAACAGCAAACGCAGCCGTATTCGGGAGGTGCCACTGAAAGGCTTTGTCCCTTGACAAAATGAAGATATTTTTAGGATACACCTGACCACTGCTCTGTCCCAGGGATGTCTAATTGCCTAGTGTTATTTGTGGATATTGCTCAGTGATGATGCTTCACATTTAATGTGAAACATTTCTTAATAATATAAATTGTTCTGGGCCAGGATGTATTTTTCTCTTCCAGCATCTTTCTGTGAGCTGACCTCTGCAGCTCGGCTGCCTCGCTTCAGAAGCAGCTCTCTCTTGGCAGGTTGACAAACATTTCTGCCAACATGGGTTCTGATGAAGAGCTGGCATTTGTGAATGTGAGTTTAGGGGGAAAAGGGCCTTTGAGCTTTGTTGTTCCGAGGGCTGCTGACATCCACACGCAGCGTGGGGATGTGTTGCCTATGCCTGTTTTGCCCTTCTGACAAAGGACATTGTGTTCATCAGGTCATTGTGACACAAAGGAGATCTTAACTTTCCTGGTGACTTCTTCACAGGCAGTACCCACAGTGCTGTTCAGCGTTGTCTTGCTGCCCGGAAAGGGGGAGTTTCACAGCAGAAGCTGAGAAAACGAACAGCAACTGGTTGTTGGCAAAGTGTGCAGATACTACTGTATGGATTTCATGCATTTCATATGCTCATCTTTTATAGATGGGCCTAACTGATGGAGAAGGGTTCAGCTCTCTGAACTACATGAGGCATCTAAAAAATATGTGCATCTCCTTGCCCTGCTGCACATCAGACACTGTGTGACCTCCTGCAGTCACCTCCAAAGCTGCGTTTCTTCACAGCGAGAGAAAAAGAACCAGATTCTTGAAATCAGCGCAGACATCAGATGCCCTTCAAAATTGACTGAAGATACTTTTCTTTTTCCTCTTCAAGATAGGCTTGAAATTGGATTATGAAGAAAATCTCAAATGGCATATAATGAGAGTTAAGTACCTTCCTGACCCAGCAGAGCGCTGTACCCACCTCTGCTGCTATAAAATCATAGAAAATAAGCCTTGACAGACAGGAGTTTGACAGCCCATCCAAACGGTCCCTCTGCCAAGGCAGCTGAACGAGGCCTGAGTCATCCCTAACCCTGTCTGAGTCGATCTGTTCCATGAGACTCACTCCCAACCCCCTGGTTGGCCATCTCACCATGATGCTTCCCTTCCTGCAGCTGTGGGACGTGCTCAGTAACGACAACCTGAGCACCACTTAGTTCTGCTGGTGGAAACAGCTGCCCTTGATTAGGCTGGGAGATACTGATCTATACTTGAAATGCTTGTTTCCTCAGTGATGCTCCGAGTGCTCAGTAAAGGGATGCTTAAATATAGATTTGTGATTCATCTGGAAGTACCGACAAAATCCTGTGCTGCACAGAAACACCTGCTGACCGAGAAAAGGGTACTCTGAAATTAAACCTTGCAGGTACCCTAATGACTAGGGCTGCCACAGAACTGCAGGTGTCCAGGCAGCAGAATTCAGGCACCACCCCACATCTCAGGGCCGGCCGAGGGCTGCACCTCACTGCATGTTTGACTAAGGAGCTGATCGTTCTTCCTCCCGAGATGGTGTTTCTGACTTTCCCCACAGATGGCTGGTGACATCTGCTGTGTGGGACTCGTGCTTCCATTTTCCTGAAGCAGCTCTTCCTGGAGAAAGTACGATAGCATGTTGCAACGACCCAGCTGCCCCAGGAACTCAAAATTCCCAGTTTGCCACTACCATTAGCTGCGAAATTTCCCCCTTCCCCCACCGTGTGTCTAGCACTGCTTCCAAACTGCACATGGTCCACAGTGCTCAGGTCTTCTACGCTGCCAGAGGTCAGAGAGCTGAGTCCTCACACCCTGCACAGAGTCTCGTTGGCTGGGAACCAACTGCTGCTTCCATGTAAATGAATTTTAGGTTACAAATGTGTATATTTTTGAGCAGTAATCAAATAACTATGCATATTTAGCTTCATGAAGACACATCTGACTTTTAAAATTCCATGCCCTGGAAATGCAGACACCTTCACATTGTTAGCCTACAGGATTTGCATCTTTGAAAAACGGCTCAAATTTTTGTTTATTAAGGTTGGCAAAAGATGGAGGGGGATTCGGGAAAAAAGGACAGAAATTCACCACATCTGCACGGTTCGTTTCATCTCAAAACAAAGTTATGTTCTACGTTATAAATGCATGAGCACTTCGTACTGGCAGACTTTTAATTAAGGTAGTGTTATCGGTAAGAATTTTAATATAGAGAAAGTTGTCTACCTTTGTTGCTGTTTTATTTCAGCTAGAACATATTTAATAAGTAAACCAACTAAAATACAGGCCTTACTTTCAGCATTCCATGCACAGCAAGCCTTTTAATTTGTGCTGTGTTTCTGTAACTCGTAAGGAATAACAACCAGCATCTTTCTGACAGATTCAGTTGCTCAGACAAAGAAAACACACGAACCCTTTTGCCACAGCAAATGTTCACTAAACTGGGTTTCCGTGTGTTGGGTGTGTGTTTGAGAGGAAACAGACACTGCAGAGTTGGTTAATGTAAGCTTGATTTCCTCTGAAAATGCACCTTGAATCCACTGATTGAAGCGCCAGCTCTTTTCCAACTCCCAATACACCGACACATTCATTATGCATTAATTCTGCTCCTATGAAATGTATTAGAGACAAAGCACCCTACAGCCAAAACACTGCAATTATCAAGGTCGTACCAGCGTTCTCAGTATTACTGTCAGTAGCCTATGGAAATATTTATAAAGCAGAGGAGTGAAATTTACTGTAAGTGTGCAATGACAACATTTCAAACCATCATGAGATGAAGAAAAATAGCATTTTCCATTGGAAAATAGTCTGATTAGAAATTACTCAGTAAGTATCTCTAAAACACAGCCTTTCCTCCACAGCCCAGAGGTGATGCCAACCTTAGACTCAGTATGTATCTTAGGCCAAATTTGCAGTGGCTGCAAATCGTTATCCCTCCGCTGAAACCGAAGCTGCCCTAAAGGCTGATGGAACCACCATGTTCCCACCACCTGAAGCTCAAGCGGAGATCCTCAACCCCAGATCTCATATTGGCTCTTCAGAGCATTCTACTGAAGACACCAAGAAAACATCATTAGTGAAGAAAGAAAAACAACCACTACAATGGCAAAGCATTTCCATTTTGTACATCCACATGAACATAACAGACGGCAAAACAGCTCGTACTTACATGTTGCAAACATGTACATCATTAAAACCAATGTGTTTATTATTAAACTCTCTGCATTATGCACACTTCTGTTACAATCAGCTCATCTGTGTCTTCAGAAATGAGGAATGACTTCTGGAGCTTGCCAGGGAAGCCTGTTGTGCCCCAGAGCTATTCAGAAATACAGCATTCGTACAGAGCCACCTTATCATCTTTAATGACTAAATCCTCTGCTTCCCAAAGTTCACTGGTAAAAGTAGAAATAGCGATATGTGATATACTGCTGTCTGAAAAAATAACCGCCTTCGTGTTCCTTGAAGTCTGCAGAATAGGTATGTGGCTTGAAGGAACACACGGGATCTTATTTTCTTACAAATGTTCCACGAGATGAACCGTGAGACAGACTGTGGCACCGGGGACACTCCGTCCTTCCCCCGCTCCTCTGGCTCCTTCTGGGGCTGCAGCACCGGGAAGGCAGCGCTCCTCGGGTATGGAGAGAGGGAGCCCCAGCCCTCTCACAGGGCTGGCTTAGTCCTTGTAGACACGTAGAGTGGACCACCATTTAAGATTTACAAATGAAGAGTAGAGCTGAGGGTCTCGCTGTGTCACTGAGGGAAAAACTGAGCCTGGATGAGCATCAAAATGGTTTCAAATTGCTAAGGGTGAAAGAGTGTCCCGTTTTCGAGGCCAACGCCAAACTGTATTGCATAAGTCATTCCTGAGCACTGAAGAGAGCTCTTCACAGCTCATCTAAGGGATTGGTCAACAGGGATTTATCCTCTAATTTCAATAGGATCTGACATAGATTGGCAAGGTTTATGGCAGGAGCATTGGTCAACAGGGATTTATCCTCTAATTTCAATAGGATCTGACATAGATTGTCAAGGTTTATGGCAGGAGCAGTTTATGATGTCTGTCTATGGGAGTCTCTCGAGTGCATTCTAGCTCATGGCACCCAGTCCCGGGGTCCCTCCTCAGCACACCCGCAGGGTCAGGGCCTCCCTAACCCCCAAAGTTACCTCAAAGCAACTGCTATTTAGCTCAAGTGCCTTATTTCAGTTTTTCTCTTCTCCTTTACTATCAGACAAGGTCTGGATTTAGACTATTATAACCCACGATGCTTAAGTACCTGATGCAGCACTAAGGAGAAAAACCCTTATGGATGGAAGCAGCAGCAGAAATCCCAGGAGAGCAGCTGCCCTGTGGCATTCTGTCCCTCCTGCTCCTCTGCCACGCAGGGCAGTATTTTCACAACCCCAGGTCAGGGCTGGAATCTAGACACTTGAGACGAGCAAGTGCCACCCCTGTCACCTGCAGCTGCCCCCTCCTCGGGGTGTCTCCCTGCTCGGGCAGGGGTGGAAGCAGCAGGCAGGTGTCTGAGCAGGGAAAACAACGGGGACCATCAACCGTCCAGATTCCCTCAGAGTTAAGGACTGTGATGAGCATCCTGAGGTCGTTCGCATTTGAAACATCCCATGCACGTGTCAGCCAAAGGCAAAGGAGTGAGGAATCTGGAGGACAATTTTTCAGAGATATGCAAGAACGAATGACATTATATTCACTAAATATTTCTGAATAAAACTCCATAGGAGTCACAGCCCTGAAAAGCTTCCTTGGCACTGGCCTTGCTGCTTGCAGATTCTGCACAATTAGCTTCATGGGGGATATTCATCTGCTTTCTTTCTTTTGTGATTTTGCAGAACTTTTGCAGTGACAGTTCTGTAACTTCTAACTGCAAACCAGCTTCTCCCTGACCAGATTTCTGCCTCGGTAATCACATCAAGACTCTAACGATGCTTTGAATATGCAATAAAAGGTGCTTTTTACTCACAAAACTGTACATTCATCATGTTTCCCTGATGACAGACACACACATGAAATCATCACCTTCAACAACCAGGGACTCGGAGCAGCAAAGGAGTCTAAAAATAGATGCTTCCCCTGCTAAGACATTAGTTTCTCATTTCTTACCTGGGATCCTTTACTGCCACGATCATAATTTTATTACAGAGGCAAGCTTTCATCTAGCCTTCATCTCAGAATGGCTATTAAAGAAAATAATCATTTCCAAACAAATTTCACAGTTCATTCAGAGTGAAAGAATTGTGCCTTAATGATGAGTTTCTGGGCAGAGTAATAAGGTGACAATTTTTCCTATAAATAAATATTCTTCAACTACCAATACTGTTAAACTATTTTGAGATGCCTTCAGGGTTTCTGTGGCATCTTAGGCAGCCTAAAGACCCACTCTCTTTCCCTGAGGGTGTTGGGATCTTGGTGTACAATAACTATTTTACCTTCATTTGTTTTATGCACTCGCTAATGAGATTAGGATATTTTGGGCTATCCTTTGGGGATGGTTGTATTTTGGGCTATCCTTTGGAGATCATCAAGATTTGAATGCTTTGGAGTGACTTTCTGTTCATCTGTTTGATTTGTCTTGCAACACGCAAAATCTTTTAAGAAGTCATCAAGCTCATTAAAAGGGGAAAAGTAGAGGACTCCAAGCCAGTTACACCTTGTGAAAGCTGATAGTTCAAAATATAGTGTTAAAGAAAAGTACCGAAAGCAAAAACCGCTGAAAGTTTCCAGTTGCCATGTACTGGTTCCTTCTTTCCTCTTTGTTATGGCACGGTAACAGATGTTGGGTGGTCATTTCACATGGCTGGTACCAGGAGACGTGGAGGGGACACAGCTGTTGGATGGTCACCTCACATGGCCGGTACCAGGAGACGTGGAGGGGACACAGCTGTTGGATGGTCACCTCACATAGCTGGTACCAGGAGATGTGGAGGGGACACAGCTGGGTGGACAGGTCTGTGTTTGCTCTCTGCTGCAGAGCGCAGGGAGAAAGGCTGTTCCCAGGGCTGTGACGCTCCCTCTGTGCCACTGCTGACGAGGCTGGTGTGGTTTGACCATGATGTGTCCTTTACCTGGTCTTGCCCTCTCCCAAGTGACTTGGATTTCCAACTCCCACCCTTCTCCCCGCGCCAGTCACGAGCAGGATGTGCAGCGATGTCTCTGCGATGGCTGGTGCTGAGCTAGGCAGACGTCTCTCCAGATTTTAGTGCAACGAGTTCAGAGTCCTCTGCATACCTTCCGTTCAGCTGCTCGTTGTTGGAGTCGTGATGGTAGAGGTAGACGGGGACCTCTGTGATGGACGTGGCGGTGTAGGAGGTGGAGCGTGTGGAGCAGTGCTCCCGGCGCCTCTGCCCCCACTGGGTTTTGTACTGTGTCCATTGCCGCTTCAGAGCTCCTTGTACCTGGGAAAGCAGCACACAGTTAGGGTGAGGCATAGTCTAAACCCCTGTAATTCTAGCAAATTTCTAATTTGCTGCAGGAAATTTAAAAAAAAAAAAAAAAGAAAAAGGAAATAAAAATAAAAAAGAAAAATCTCCAGGCCTAATTCCATCAGGTTGAGTCTGCCTCTCTCCTCCGCTTTGCTCCCAGCTCCAGGAGCAGGAGTTGCTCATGGAAGAGGTCGCTGCACGGGAATGCAGCGGGATGCTGGGGTAGGAGAGGGACCGGGAAGGAGGGAGGAGGATTAAAATCCATCCGATGCTGCAGCTGGATCCTGGCCACGAATGGCAAAGTGTAAGTGTATTTCAAGAGCGTGCCAGGGCTAATTTTGTAGAGGGGAAGAGTTAGAGGAGTAGTACAGATAAACAAACATTTTGTTCTGGTAATTTGCGAAGAGCCTCTGTGTTGGCAAAAAAAAAATAGCATCAGTCATAGCCCTTTGCATAGGAGAGAATTCCAACCTTCGGACATTCATCTTCTAGGAATAAAATATTTTATTCAACGTTTACATTAAGACTGATGTTACATGTGGTGCTTGGATATGACTTCAGCTATCAAGTCCTGCAGGGAATAAGCAGCCCTTCCCCACCTGCAGGCACTCACTAGCTCCTTCCCAAAGGACGTGCTGACACACGAGAAGGGAGTGGGCAAACGCTGGCTCTGTTCATCCCGATCAGAGAGCCCATCCAGCCAAATGTGAGAACGGGAGCAGTTTGCCATCATGATCTGCTGTAAGTGACCACCCCTCTGGAGGAGGGCTGAGGCAGGAGCGGCTGTGTGATGGCAGGGGTGTCCCAGAGCTTCCGTGCCCCCGCTGAGCTGGATGTCGTGTTGGTTTTGCTCAGGGAATAGTCCGAAGTCACTCTCTAGGCTCTTGTGCAGAACAATGTCTTTGATTCATGTAGATGAAGCTAAATGACTTCAATATTTCCCAAGTCTCTGCAGTTCTGATCACTCCATTAATATGTATATAGTAAAATATCATCTACTTGCACCCACAGCTGCCTGCAGGAAAAGCTGTTCCATGTCACATAAGGACAAGGCTTCATAAGGAATTGCTATGAATCCGAGATGCTTACGGAGTGTGCAGGACTCTGCAGCAGGCCAAGAATGGATATTTCAATGGCTTTGGCTTTTTATTTTTAATCCAAGACACAAGCCAAGGTATGAAGACTGATGCTATAAATCCTTACTCATGCAAGCAGTTGCGCTGACTTCGGTATGACTGCTTGCTTGAGTAAACAAACCTTTGCTGGACTAGTCCTTTAAAACTAACTGAAAACAATATCCATGCCCAGTTTCCAATACTAGCTCTTTTTTTGCTATTGTTTAGCTTAAGAAAAAGTAGTTAAGAGTTCTCTTCACGTAGAGAAACGTATTCCTGTTTGCCTTCTCCTAACACATAAAGAAAAGAAAAGAAAACAAACGGCTGAGTGTAGGTTAATTAGATATTAAGCACAGAAAAGGCATATGGTTGCAATGGAAGTTTAATTGCTGAGGCTGCCGATATTGAGATTTAAAGAGAAAAGGCTGCATGCAGAGATGTTCCATACCACACCATCGCCGAAGCTCGTCGGTGAGAAAGAACTACTGCATGAAGGAGTAATGTGGTTGCAGCAGGTGATACAGAAATATTACACATGAAGTAAACCCTCTGAAGATTTTAGTCACTTTAAAATTGCCTTTAGATGTTAGAGTATGAATATTGTAGCTTGGTCATGGTAGAAGTTCTGGGGAGGGACTCAGAAGGATGAAGTGGGTGGTTTTCCCCACTGCCACCCTGGGCAGCAGCTGCTCCAACCCAGGGCTGGCCATGGTGAGGACAATGCAGAAGTCCTGGGTGTGCACAGCAGCTCTGTCCCCGCACAGCCATCTCCAGTGCTGCCACCACCATCATTAGTGCCTGCAACCTCTGGGCACCCTTCGCCATCGCCTCTGCCCCTGCAAACTGAACGTGTTGGCATTTCACAGCAGTTCATCCATTCAGGTTGGTCCTGGTGTCTTTAGTGAAGGCGACAAGAACATGTCCCCTCCTCTCCTGCAGAGACCCCAGGGCTCCGATGGCTCTTGCCTGGGGAGAAGAGCTGCTGAGAAGGTGATGAGCTCCTGCTGAGCTCTCCATCTGCCCTCAGCTGAGCTGGAGTCTGAGGTGCCACCAGGGCAGCCATGGGTCTGGAGGTGATAACAGGGTTAATTGAGCAGGGCAGAAGGTCACCCAGCTTACAAAGCCTGCTGAGAGGAGCTTGCAGTTTTACTCTCGGGAGGGAGTGACATTTAAATTGTAAATTGTCTGGTCAGGGAGAGAAGAGGCACATCCCTTCCAGCTCAGCCCACGATTAGAAGTGCCATCAGTCAGGGTTAAAAGGCTCCAGGGAGCAGCGAGAGCACGGGGTGGAAGCAGCCAGGATTTTATTCCCTGCGGAGCTGCCGGCGGGGCAGGAACCCGGCCACCGGCGTTACCGGAGAGTGCCAGCTGCTGTGCCTGAGAAAAACAACGTGTGGATCTCGATTTCTGCCATGATTCCGAGGATCTCAGATGATGGTGATTCAGCGCCAACTCAAACTGTTCCCGCATGAATTGGGAGTGTGTGAGCAGCGTCACTGACAATCACACACAGCCGTGATGTTCTGAGCACCCAGGGGGCTCCCGGGGACCCGAGGGTCAGGGTGACGCCTGCCACCCTCTGCTCTCAGACCAGGTGGAAGAAAGCAAAGTCTAAGGAACAAAGAGCCCGAGTTTATTTACTCACTCCTGCTCTTCAGGACTTGAAAGGTTTTTCTGTTCTCCATTAGCCATTCATGCCACTTTGGCACACAAGATATATGGCGGGGGTTTTTTTTTCCAAACAGACTTTCCGTTTTGTTGGCCAGTCTTGCAGTCTAGAAGCAATCTCAAGCCTGGAAATATGGTCTGGTGAGCAGAGTATTGCAGAGACCTCGTATCATCTGTACAACACTGTTGTTGTTGGACAGAGAAATTACAGTGCTGCTGGACACACAGATCTTATTTGAAATTGCACAAGGAGATCTGTCATTTTAAAGGTCCAAAACAAAGCCATTGTTTATGTGTTCTTCCACGTGAATGCAGGCAGCGGTACAGCCTCTCATTACTATTTTTATGTCTCTTTCTATAGCTCAGCTCATGGTCCTAAAGGGAGGTCGGTGAGGGAGGAGGCAATGAATGCAATATACAGCACTGTCAGGTGGTACTGAGTTTAGCATTGTTTGTCCTGGCTAAACTTCATGTGTTTAATCTTTGAAGTTAAACATTCCGGTAGGAAAAAGTAAATCCCAGAATATCCAGGCTCCTGTGGTACTAAAATTAATCTCCTTGCGCAGAGTGACTTTTCCCACGGGAACTCAGTGTGTGCTCTGTGGCAGCAGACACGCGGAGCAGATTGGGGGGAGCATCCTGGCTCTGTGGCAGCAGACACGCGGAGCAGATTGGGGGGAGCATCCTGGCTCTGTGGCAGCAGACACGCGGAGCAGATTGGGGGGAGCATCCTGGCTCTGTGGCAGCAGACACGCGGAGCAGATTGGGGGGAGCATCCTGGCTCTGTGGCAGCAGACACGCGGAGCAGATTGGGGGGAGCATCCTGGCTCTGTGGCAGCAGACACGCAGAGCAGATTGAGGGGAGCATCCTGGCTCTGTGGCAGCAGACACGCGGAGCAGCTCGGGGGGAGCATCCTGGCTCTGTGGCAGCAGACACGCGGAGCAGCGCGGGGGGAGCGTCCCGGCGGGGCCAGGGCCAGGCTGTGTCTCTGGCCGTGTCACACCTCCCACAGCCCGGCCACACGCAGCCCCTCTGCTCCCTGCAGCCAGGCTCAGCCTGGCACCGCCTTCGGAAGGACCTCGTGCCACCTTGGAATCAATCTGTTGCTGCTCCTCCATAGGTTTTGTGCCTTATGTGTCCACACCCTGTGTAACTGCAGGAGCACAAGGGCCTCGGAGGAAGGGGGTCATAATCACAGAATCACAGAATCGTAGTGGTTGAAAGGGACCTCAGAGATCATCGAGTCCAACCACCAAAAAAAAAAAAAAAAAAAAAAAAAAAAACACAAAAAAAAAAAAAAAACAAAAAAAAAAAACAACAAAAAAAAAAAAAAAAAAAAAAAAAAAAAAAAAAAAAAAAAAAAAAAAAAAAAAAAAAAAAAAAAAAAAAAAAAAAAAAAAAAAAAAAATCCACAAAAACCACAAACCACCACCTATCACCTAAACACACAACAACCACCAAACCAAAAACCATCACCCACCCACACAGCACCCCACCACAAACCAGTAATCTTGGGCACTAGAGCATGCCCTGAAGAAACATGTCTACACGTTTCTTAAATACCTCCAGGGATGGTGACTCCACCACCTCCCTGGGCAGCCCATTCCAATGCTGGATAACCCTTTCAGTAAAGAAATGTTTCCTAATATCCAACCTGAACTTCCCCTGGCGCAACTTGAAGCCATTACCCCTTGTCCTGACATCTGTAACTTGGGAGAAGAGACCGACCCCCGTCTCTCTACACCCTCCTTTCAGGTACTTGTACAGAGCGATAAGGTCTCCCCTCAGCCTCCTCTTCCCCAGACTGAACAACCCCAGTTCTCTCAGCCTCTCCTCGTAAGACTTGTGCTCCAGACCCCTCACCAGCTTTGTTGCCCTTCTCTGGACCCGCTCCAGCACCTCAATGTCCCTCTTGTGGTAGGGGGCCCAAAACTGGGCCTTCCACCGTCTCTTCTGGCACAGCCCAGCACAGCTACTCCAGTACATGAACGTGCTTGACGTTTGCTGGTGATGTGCTGCTGCAAGGAGCACCAAACTGTGCCGAGTCTGTATCAGAGAGGTGTCATCTTCGAGACTCTGCCCACTGTAATGGGAAATTCTACAAAAACTTCCCTTATTGCCCAGTAAATAAAATTTTCTATAAGAAAATAATGGAAGAGCATTCTCAGCATCCCTGTCACTGACTATGTCAGGCAGTCTGCAAGTCTGCAGCAAATACAATTTTAAAAATGAGTGTAGTGGTGAAAAGTACCCAAGCACCAACAAAAATCACACTCGACATGTCTGGGAAACCCAAATCCCCACGGCTGTTTGTTCTTCCTTCCTGGCACTGATGAATGTTTGCGACCAGCAACTCCATCAAGGAGCCATTAATCCTGCATGCAGCCCCAGCCACCCGCAGGCACTTAAACCATCCATGTGATCGCTTGTGGGAGCAATAGAGTGCAAAACTGGAAGCCGCATTTCCATATTTGATTCATTTTTATCTCATTTTGGGCATCATCGTTTCCAGATGTGTCCCCTTAGTGACGGCTCGCTGACAATCCAGGCATCAAAAGTGGATATCTGGATGAGAGACTCCCCCGAGGAAGCGGTCGTTTTGCTGCCGACTGCCAGAGGTGTCAAAAAGGCTGTGGGAGGTGCCGGGGGGTTTGGTGACTATTTCTGTCACTCAGGATTTGTACCCAGACTGCGCAGCCCCAGCTCACCTGAGGAATGACTGGCTGCTCTTACAGCTTCCTGATGGGCAGCGCGGGTCCACAGAGCATCTCTGAGGTCGGATGTCTGAACATCAGGTATGAATATGGTGTATTTTCTTAACCCAAATTTCTTAACTCAAAAATTCTAAATTAATTTAATACAATACTCGATGAACAAAAGAGAGCTGCATATTTACTTTAGACTAATTTTCATTCCTTTCAGTTTTCTGCCCAGCGCACTCTAGGTTAGTTCATCTGACAGGGAAACTCATCCACACCCTGCAATCTAATTTGGAATTAAATGACACAGACGGTCTGCCATGATGTTGGCAAGCAGATGCTCCAGATCCATTTGTCATTGGGTAACCTGAAAATTGTATTCCTGGAGATGGAAAGGCAGATACACTTCTCTGACCTTGTGGTGTTGCCAAAAGTACTTTGGAATTAGAGCTACCTGATGAGACTTACCTAAGGAACAAACGGCCTTTAAGAGAGTTTACACTTTCAGTGCATTTTGTTGCTGCCTTTCCTCATTTTTAGCATTGCTACAGCCTTTCTAGGCACAAGTCCATGTGTTCTCATTAGAGTTGGAGAATTGCAGAGTAAGTGATCTTTTACTCTAAAGCTATAAAACAACAAGCAAATTTGTTTTGCAAAATCTAATCTGAAAAAAATGGAAGGAGCCACTGGGGAGGATGAAGAAGGAAGAAGGCAACGTTGAAGCAGTGGGAAGCCCCTAATCTTTTCTGTCGTTGCATTTCTCTGTACATTCGTGTGGCAACATACAGCTCTGTCGGCAAGTGGTGGCAGAATTTAATACTCTCTGCCGTCCTGGAAGTCAGCGAACCAGCCAGTAGCACCTTATCAACAGATAACTTGCTTCAAGGCACGACCAAAACATCCTCACAGTCACATCATCACTGGGAATTTGCTACTTTCTAATATTATTCAGGGGTAAACAGAAGCACATACCGAGTGTCAGCATCACAAAGCCTTTTCTGTACTGAATTCATCTGCTTTTGATTAAAAAATAACTTTTTAAAGGACTTTTTAGCTTTTCTGAAATATGCGATGTTTTATTTTGCTACAGTTGAATGCTCCTGATGTATTGAAAATGAATTTTTCTGCTAACCGTCTCTGGAAAATGGCTTATTGTAGCAATTTAAATGGTTCTTGACGTATTTTTACCAGCTATTTTTTTGTTAAAAAAGTAGTGAAGCGGACTTAAAACCATCTGTAGGTATCTGAAATATTGATCCAGTTGTAGGAGAATGAGAGACATTTTTGCCTCAAGGCTTTTTATTTCTCAGTGACTGGGTGAGAAACCTGACCTTAAAAAGGCCAGTGCTAATCCTTGAAGGAGTGAGAGGAATTGCTCCTGCAGGCTCCTCTGCTCTGACAGAGTGGTGGGGGTTGGAAGGGACCTCTGGAGAGCCTCCAGTCCAACCCCCTGTCAGAGCAGGGTCACCCAGAGCAGGTCCCACAGGAACGTGTCCAGGGGGGTTTGAATGTCTCCAGAGAAGGAGACTCCACCACCTCTCTGGGCAGCCTCTGCCAGGGCTCTGCCACCCTCACAGGAAAGAACTTCCTCCTCATGTTCAGATGGAACTTCTTATGTCCAGGTTTTGCCCGTTCCCTCTTGTCCTGTCCCTGGGCACCACTGAGAAAAGCCTGGCCCCATCCTCCTGACACCCACCCTTTCAGTATTTATAGGTGTTGATCAGATCCCCCCTCAGCCTTGTCTTCTCCAGACTAAACAGACCCAAGTCCCTCAGCCTCTCCTCACCAGAGAGATGTTGTAGTCCCCTCAGCATCTCCATAGCCCTCCTGATTCATCTGCTCAGAGACACTCAAGTCCTGCTCTGCTCAGAGCTTTCCAACCCGTGCTCTGCTGTTTGTATACGGAGAGTAAAAAGCAACTTTGTGTGGTTGGGAAGCAGCACGACGTGCTTCATTTCTGCATTAATGAACACAAAGTGACTGTTTTATAAGTTCTGCTCATTGGCCGTATGGCAGATGCTTACCTCACCATTGAAGAAGCAGAATATGGTCGCCACAAGTAAGCCCTATGAGAAAGGAAAAGAAAAATGGTTAGTGATCAGAATATATAATTATTTTTGTTGCATTCTTTGGAAATTTGGATGTGAGGGTTACAAAATAAAAATTAGTGCATTTCCTCTGCATCAGAGACACTTCACCTGACCTCCCCTTATGCACTGCTACGTTACCACACTGATTTTTGTCTTTTTGACATGTTTTAATATTTCCTTCTATATTACTAGCATTTATATACAATCTATTTTGTCTATGAAGTTATTTTTGTACAAAATGCAAACTGTGTGTCAGGATAACTGAGCTTGTCTGTGGGGCACCGCAGCAGATGGTGAGGATGTGAAAAGAGGTATAAATGGTCAGAAAAAGTTAAAAACCCCCACAATGGGCGAGTTAAAAAGTTAGGGCAGAGGAAAAAGAAGAGAGATTGCAGATCATAGCTTGGTCCTAAATGGCTTAAAATTAATTTAATTATTGCTGCAGTTGTTCAGATAGTATTTCAGTCCTGCTCCAAGGGCCAAGCCAGGGACACGAGGTGAGAAAGTGTGAAATGAGCAAGAGAAGGTTCTGGCACACAGAGCCTGCCGTTCGGAGTCACGTCCTTAGGCTGGTCCGTGCTCTAAACTGCACTGGCTCCTAGTGAAACAGCATTACACAGCATCAGTGGGAGCCAAACGCCTTCATTTTAAATTACTTAAAGCAATTATTATAAACTAAACATATGGCAGTTTGTGAAATTGAGGGGAAAACGGCAATACAATAGTTTGTGTTCCCAAGGGCTGCTCTGAAGAGCTTTACAGCTGTATCTTTTGTATAAACCCTCATTTAACTGCTTACCAGTTAAACTGTATCTAATGCTTTGTAAAATGTCTTGGACTGCCAAGTGTATACTTTGGACCACAAATATAGGGTAAGTAACAACTGTTTTAACAAAATACTTATATATTAGAGATGCATAGGCTGGCTTGAAGAGGGGCTGACCCCCTGACTTTTGGCAATTACTTTACGCCAATAAATCTTCCCTAATGCAGAATTTGTAATTTGACATGACTTCCAATATGAACACAGAAGAGCATGTGTGAGGAGGAGGAAGAATAGACATAGTGAGGAAAAGACTGTTTCTTTTCATGTTTTGGAGAAGCAGTGAGCATCCTCAAGAAACTCCAATCCCAGGGCACAGTGTGTGATGCACAACAGTTTGCCCATAAGCTTTGGCTTCAGGAACACCCCAAAGTCAAACAAAATCTTATGCCTCTAAGGCAGCGCTTTGTCAGACCACAGATTCCTAAATAAAAAAATTAGGCTAGGGGAGCAAATGCCTCACTTCCCGGTGCCCTGTGCCGATCCTCTCCTGTGCTGGGTGTGCTGTGGTGATCTGCAGAGTCCTGCAAACCATCCGCAGCTGAACTCCTCCTGCCTGCTCTGGAGACTCTCTCTGCTTTGCCAAAGCACGTTTCTGTGAGCAGCAGTCAGACGCATGGGAAATTAAATGGATCTTGATCTTGTCCGGGAGCAGAGCTGCTCGATGGACATCCCACCTGGGGCACGGCAGGTACAAAAGGCGCCAGGAGGAGAGAAAGAACCAGAGATTTTTCTAAGCCTGTTCTTCAGCGAGGGTGTTTACGGGGAATTTGGGAACTGCAGTTCACCTCAAGGCAGAATTGCACCTGCACTACTGAAGTGAACCCATTTTCCGTGCCCACTCCTGTACGATATTTTAATTCCTCTGCTACATTCCACAATTGCTCTACTTCTCTTCTGTCGGAGCGTCTAGTTCCCTTAATGGGTGTTTTCTCCAGACAACACCTGACAGAAAAGCTAGAGAGGAAGCTCTGCTGATGCCTCAGATCTCACCAGTTCTCTTCTGGTCGGGAGGGAGCTGAGAGCAGTTCTGGCTTCCCGCTGTTCTGAGACCATGGATGTTGTACATCTTCTGGCTGAAGAAACTATTCTCTCTAGTTTGTCCCATGCAGGTTTCACTGCTCTTCTTCCACCAGCAACGGCCCCCTGGGCTCTGCCATCTATTGTTTCTATTTCTATTTCTTTATTTCTATTTCTGTTTCTATTATTTCTATTTCTATTCTTCTATTTCTGTTCTTATTTCTTCCAATTTATACATAGTTTTTTGCCCATAGTTCAGAGTACTATTGTTATCTTCAGCTGTCTAGACAGCTCCAGAGATGCCTGTAGCACACACCAGCTTTGTCTCTTCGGAGCCAGAATAATGATAACTTTACAGTGGATCTATTAAAACATGTAACAAACCGTAGGTTAATTATTTCATGCGAGGCCCACAGGTTAATTCTCAGATCTCTTTGACATGGTCTTCCCTCTCCTCTCTGGCTGCTGCTGACGTTGGCTGAGGTGCAGTTCCTACTGAGGAGGACACCCCCAGGTCAGTGGTACCTCTCTGCCACTGTTGTTAGAGTGACCTGTGCTCTGCTGTCTGCTGGGAGCAGGGTAACACCGGCTGCGGCATTGAAGGCAGAGATGAAAAATACATTTATTTTGAGATTAAGGCCTTTAATGACTTCTTCTGACCTTCTTTATTTCTGGAATGGCATGAAGACCAGATAAATGTGGCTTTTGGCAGAAGCATGCCTTAGGGATTGTTCAGAGTCAGCAGCCCCAGACCTTCATGTACCTTATTGATCCCAGAGAGAGTTTTTCCCTGTGTTTAAGTGCCTAGACTGGTGCAAGGACATTCTTTGCTTGACAGGCATTTAATTTCTATCTAACTCTCCTACAAAACCTGAGTGTCTTGAAGAGAAGTTCCAGAAATTTGCTCAGGTTAAAAAGAAACAAAGAAAAAATAGCTATGCAGATCCCGCAAATTTACATGGGTTTCTGGTACCTCAGTTGTTTTTCTTATAGCTTCTGTCTCCATAAACCCAAGACAACATATATACATATATGTGTTTATTCCTGAGCATGTCTATGGCATTAGTTTCTGCCCCAGTTACACACTCTGTTGCTGTTTAGGCTTTAGAAAGTTTTGAAATTAGTAATAATGCAAAGAAAAAAGAAACAGGAAATAAAACCCCCACTTATGTTGTCAAAAGCAGTCCTATGACCTTAACTTTGCACAGAAGGAAAAAATGTTTCTGGTTTGGCATCACAGACGATATTTATTTCCCTTTAAATGGAGAAACAGATGGAATGAATACTTTCTAAAGTGAATTGAAATATCTTACTAGTTTTAAGAGGCTACTTTTAAATGGGGTAATTTTGCTCTGTAAAGCCACACAGAGTTAAATTTACAGCCCTCTGTAATCTCAGTTTTCTCTCCTTAGTTTAGAAATAGTGCCATCTGATCATTTTTGCTACGTTTTTCACCGTTTCCCCTATCTTGTGGCTGTGCTGTATGCAGCAATGCTCCCCATGCAGGGGCAGATAACCCAATAACGCGAAAGTGCTTGGAAAAGAACTGCAAAACCACGGCCACGCTCAGTTTGGGGGCAAAACAACTGGCAACAGCGTCTTTGGCTAAATTAACTTACTAGCAAGCACCTCACCCAAGCTGGAGCTGCTACTGTATAACATACCTGGTAATGCATTAATATATGCATGATGTAGTCGTATATTTCCCCAGCGAGTCGGTTCTCTGGTCTCCAGGGAATAATAACAAACTGAATTCCCAGTAAGGGCACCAGGATCAAAGTGGCTCTGACAGCCTTCATGTACATGTTGGACTCGGCACGGTGGGTGTCTCTCAGCTTTGTCACCAAAACTCGGACGATATTAAGCAAAAAGAAAAAATTGACCTGCAAAAGCAAAACCATTATAGGTGAAAGCATTGAAATTAAAGAGACATTCAAAATAAAAATACAGACTGCATAAATGGCAATAAAATGTAACTTAGCTTTATCGTAGCTCATAATGGGCAGCTCCTTGGGAGCCAGGAGCTGGGAAGTACTTTGAATGTCTCCAGAAAAGAGATGTTAAGCTGCTCCACACGCTCACACTAGTCAATACTTCAGGCTGATGTAGCTGCAAGATTTTTTCTTGAGAAAAACCTGGGCTACCCCTTGCCCCCACCAGACTGCAGGGACCCAGAGAGAGCTCCCTGTGGGATGCGCTGAGGGATGGGCAGGACGTTCCTCCCGCAGAGGAACGTGGAGGGAGGACCCGGGCTGATAACGAGCCCAGGGGTGCCCTCTGCACATCCCGGGTACCACAGACCTGTCTCCAGTGCACCCACACCACTCCTTTCCACTCTGCTGCAGTAATAGCAAGCACCTGTGCTTCAGAACTCAATAGCTTTTTTTTCAGATGATTTTTTAAAATAAGAGTGTAAGTTGCATAACTTACTTAGATATTTTAATAGCCCAAATTCCATAGATACATGAGAAATTTCAGTTGAATCTTGCAGAACAATAAAACATGAATCAGTGAGCTTTCGTAAAGCATCTCATCATCACTTCTTAACTACTGAGAGACCTTTCAGCTGTTTTACAACTGCGCCCTACTGGAAAAAGGAATAATAAATTACTTCTGAGATCCCATTCAACATTAAATCTAAACCTTATTTGCCATCTTCCTCTGACTTCACTGACTCTGCTTAACCTTCACTTTTAGAATTTCTGGAAGTAACTGTGAGAAGTGGAAAAAAGACTTTACAAAGGTAAAAATCCTCAGCTCTTCTGTCAGTCTATTCCTGAGATTTTTGTAGCAAATCAGGCAGGACATTCTGTAGACATTGACGTCTTTGTAAGAAAAATAAGACTGAAAACGGCGTAAGCACAATCCAGAAATTATAATGCCTAATTTTGAAAACAGTTAGAGATTGCTCTTTTTGCATAAAAACCCCAGCCCCTCCTTTTTTTCTTTTTGGCCAAGATACACAGACTTTGAGCACGGTGATAAAAATAAAAGTTGAATGGCCTTTCCTAGAAGTTAGTTGGCATTACAGCAGCAGAAGCAACCAAAATTGAACCCTCAAACCCACAGTAGATTGATTCCATGGAACAGCAGACTCCGTATGGCAGGGGGGAACTGGCTGCTTCGCAGTGCTGAGGTGCACGACGGCTTCTCAAGAAAGGGTAGAAACACTTTCAGTTTTTTTGGCTAGTAGAGGAAGGATGGTTTCTTTATTCAAAGGTGATGCAGGTATTCTCCGCCCTACTGTTTCATCTCCCAGGTAATGACTGCAGGTAGTTACTGTCCCTGCAGACATCTGCAAGCAAGAGGCAGCTCCAAAGCTGATGGTGGATCCTGGGTGACACAGAGGGGAGCCTGAAGCTGTAGTTGAGTAAAACCCCTTCTGTGCCTTTCAGGAAGCTCCACGTTACCGTGCCCAACAGCAGCACTGGCACATAACATGCTGTATGTGCACACAGTGCCCAGCTGCACTTTGAATCTGCTCCTCCTGGTCAGACAGCCCAGTCTGGGCTGGTTTATTTCCCTGCCTTGGGACCATACCACTTCAGTGACCAGCAAAACTCAGGCTGAGCGACCAGCCTGCGCTCATAGAATCACAGAATGGACCTTAAAGCCCCCTCAGTTCCACCCCCTGCCCTGGGCAGGGACACCTCCCACCAGCCCAGGTTGCTCCAAGCCCCCTCCAACCTGGCCTTGAACCCCTCCAGGGATGGGGCAGCCACAGCTTCTCTGGCCAACCTGGGCCAGGCTCTCACCACCCTCACACCAAACAAGTTCTTCCCCACAGCTCAGCTCCATCTCCCCTCTTTCAGTGTCAAACCCTTCCCCCTCCTCCCATGGCTCCCCTCCCTGATCCAGAGTCCCTCCCCATCTCTCCTGGAGCCCCTTGAGGGACTGGAAGGGGCTCCAAGGTCTCCCCGGAGCCTTCTCTTCTCCAGGCTGAACACCCCCATCACTCAGCTCACCCTGGCTGGGGCAGAGCTCAATGTCCCATCAGTGTCACATGAACGCAGCGCGTTGGTCACAGATGAGTTATGCTGGGAGAGAGCGACTGCCCTGATTTTCAAAAGCAGTTAGTGATTCTGTTTGCCTCAAAATCAGATTCTTTACTGGGAGTTCCCTTTACAGGACTTCTTTCTGAAAAGCATTGACAACTTGTCCCTGTAACACTGAGCAGAGAAAACTGCTAGCTACTTCTAAGTTTTGACCAAAATACTTAAAGTGCAGAAACTTCTATTCAATATGGGTTAGCAGCATTTCTAAAAGAATCATTAAACTGCGACAGCAAATAATATTCTTACCAATAGAGCTGCCATTACAGGTCCATGAACAATATAGAGCAAGTGCGTGTCAACACTCATCCAGCAGCTGGAGGGGAAACACACCATCAAAAGTTATTATTAACTCAAGTAAAATCTGTTACAGTTAAATAACACTAAGTTCCTTCAAAAACAGCCGTACTACTCACTTGTCATTGAAGTATTTGGCTCTTGCAACAGCATGAATAGATGCTGGCACTAAAGGGAACCCTGAAATGATTAAAGTTACAGATCAGTCTTGATAATTTTTGGCTTGAATTTCATGTGTCACACTCACTAAGTCTCTTGTCTGCAAAAAGACATGTCTGTGAAATGACAGCTTTCAGTGGAGAACTGCAGCCCCATTGCCCCCGGGGCACCAGCACCCCCTCCGTGGTGGGATGCAGAAGGGAATAACGCTCAGGGTGGGATGCAGAAGGGAATAACGCTCAGGGTGGGATGCAGAAGGGAATAACGCTCAGGGTGGGATGCAGAAGGGAATAGTGCTCAGGGTGGGATGCAGAAGGGAATAACGCTCAGGGTGGGATGCAGAAGGGAATAACGCTCAGGGTGGGATGCAGAAGGGAATAGTGCTCAAGGCAGGGGGACGGGAGCAGCGAAGCCCCAGGGCCACGCTCTCCCGGGGTGTGACAAAGCTGCTGTGGCTTGTGGGGAGCGGGTGTGAGCCGGCAGCGTGGGAGGGAGGCAGGGACCAGCCCGTTCCCAGCAGAGAATTCCCTCGGGAAAGCAGGGACACTGCTTAAAACCATGCAAATCACTGTTGAGCAAGAGAGGGCCACGTTAACCCGGGTGCCAGACTGTGGAGCAAGGAACAGCATCATGAGGAGCGGCTCCTCTGGAGCCCAGGGCGAGAGAAAACCCTTGGAGCCAGGAGTGTTCTGGGGGACGGGGATTTGGGATTCCTTCTGCGGGTCCCCAGCCCCCGTGCAGCCAGGCACACACCATGCAGAGTTATCACAGCAGAGCAGAGCTGTGAGTACCACGAATCCACAGCTCCTGCTTCATCTGTGACGCCTCAGGGGAGGCCACCGCTCTGCCAGGGAGCCCATGGCAGCACATTCGCACGAGGAACCTGCCAGGCTTCACACATTGGAAGCTTCAAACTCTCACTTCCAGGCTGGCATTAGGAGGGATGAGCTGGTCCACTCCTGAGACAGCCCAGTGCCCTGTGCTGCGCAGAGAGCTCTGCAAACACCCGCAGCAAAACTGCTGCCTCTGCCCTATCAACCACACAGGCTTCTTCTGAGCTTTGGATATTCTATAATTACGAGTAAAAATGTGTGGAAATGTCCTGCTGACACTGATTAGTCATATTGTTCCTCTGGGTGTTAGTGATCTCAGGAACAATTTTACAAGAGACAGAGAATCCTGAGCCAAATTCTGGGGAAGTCTCACCTCGGAGCACAGGCCAGACACGGCTGGAGAGAGAATACAGTCAAACACGTATGTAAATAGGACACTCTGATGTCTCCAGGCATCTCTTTAAGCAACAGCTACTCAGTCTACTGCCAAAAAAAGTTATTACTGCAGTTTTCCTTGGGAGGAAAATGGAGGTGTGGGAGAACAAACTGGATTGCCTTCTCCTTTAGATATTGTTAGAAAATGATTACTTGGCCTCTGGCTGCAGAATGCCTTTTTTTGAGTGATGATACATGGTAGAACAACAAAGAGATCAGAACAGAAAGAAAGGAGCCTCCAGCCTCAGGGTGATCTTACGGGATTGACAGCTTGAGAAAATCCTTTGGATTTGGAAATGGAGCAAGACTGGGCCAGTTTTGTTGACAGATTGAAGCACAAATTTTAAGGGGCCTTTCTGTAATAGCAAAAAGTGTTCATCTGAAAGCTCTGGCCTGGAATATCATGAGTAGGGAGCTCCACATGATTGCAAGGGGCATTTTTTCTCCTGCTAAATGCAGTAGCCCGGAATATTTGGCCCAACAAACTCACAGGCAAATCTTGAGAACACGATGGAAAGTTATCCTTAGTGGGTACAGGGTAAGAAGGCCCCGACTGTGCGAAACCTCCAGCTGCAGGCTGGACGGGCTCTTTGGGCTGGATGTTGCTCCTCTCTTGGAGTGGGCCAAAAGGCAGAGGCACCGAGGAGCAGAGCACCAGGGCAGCCTCTCAGACCTTGGTGGCACAACATCTATCACTCCAGAGGTCCCACCTACACATGGTAAACAGGGAGCAACGCAGCACAGGTCTCACCCCAGCCGTCCCAGGAAAAGGTATGACATTCCCTCCAGGTCAGGCAAGGTCCTGTGTGGCACAAACTGCAATTGTGCTTAATTAGGAAGGCAATGTGTTTCCCCACTGTCCAAAGAAATAACACCCTTCTCACTTTTCTGTGGGTGGAGCTGCCTGAAGCAGTCAGACATGAGCAGGGATGCACACACTTGGTACTGCTTTCTTGCCCTGCGTAAGGGTGGTTTCCAGTGAAACACCACCACGTGAAAAAGGACATTCCCAGTAGTTCCCAGAGCAGAGGCTACCTGAATGCAAGAGTTGAAATCATAGAATCACAGAATGGTTAAGGACAACGTTTCACTTTGCTGTTACCGCCTACACGGGACCTGATATTGGGTGCCTAACTAGAGGCTGAAGTCAGAGTTTTAAAGTTCTTCAGAACATTTAAAACTGGGTCATTTTCCCTGATCTAAGCCATTGCTATTTTTTCTCTGGTTAAGCAGTAGGGTTATTTTTTTATTTTCCTAATGTTGAACAGGTATAACATCTCCAAAGAGGATGGAAAATATAGAGTAAATTCTGTCTGCTTCAGAGTGGGGTTGCAAGAGACGAATGCAGGGGAACACCCCTCAGTGCAGATGAAGGTCCCTCCTTTGCAGCTCAGCTGCACCAGTGGTTTCAAAATACGGGGAGCAGCTCCAGAAACTGGAAGGAGGCCAGAGATTCATGGTGCCCAAACAGGAAAAAGGTCTTGATAATGATTTTCTGTCAACACTGATGCAGACTGGATTTACAATAGTGATTCAAATGGAAAAGAGACTGCATTCAACAGTAACATATTGCTTGCATTTTCCTCAGCCCTGAGACCAGAGCAACCATCTGCTCCTGGACAGGTAAAACAGTATCTTCTTTAAAACAACATCTGCTGAAGCATATCTGGTCCCAGGTTCAGTTCTGGTTCCTCTTTCTACATGTTGTGTTTGTCCACTTTGGGAAATACAGATACAGATTTTCCTCCTTTTCATTTGAGAATAAATATACTTTTTATAGATACTGTCAGAGATTAATATTTCTGCATATAAAGTGACAAAAATAGACAAGTTTTGTCCAGAAGAAAGATGTCCTTGTATAGAAATCTATTTCTCTCCCAAAGCTTTGCTTAACAAAACCCAAGCATTTCTTTCAGCAAATCCCAAGATGCAGCAAACAATGGATACCAAGTCCTATTGATTTTTGTAGGTCTGTAGGCCCTTCAAAATAAATGCAGTCAAATTTAGGACCCAAGAACTCAATCTTAAGCCACGATCTAGTGGTATAAATGCAGCAATTCAGGTGTGCAGCTGCTAGAGGCATTCAAACACCTGAAAGAATTGATCTGAAACAACAGTTATAACTGAAATGACAAGAGACATACCCCAGCCCAAGAGGTAATACCAGTGCAAACGCTGCTCCTCAGCAAACACAGCCACCACGATCAGCGTGTGCAGATAAATGCCTTCACACAGCATCCAGAAGTAGTTGCAGCCCAGCATGTACTGGTGAAAGAACTGCAGCACCTTGCAGCTGGCCTGTGGGAGAAATGAGGTAACGTCACACACCTGACCATCGTTGTGCAATTAAGCAGGTGAAGGCAAAGGTCACTGCTGGGCTGTAAGGAAGCCCAGGGGGATAAAGACCCCCCAGCTCTTGCTGGGTTTGTGCGGCACCTGCCAGTGACAGGGATTGTAAACTTTTATAAATGAGATGAATGGAAAAATCAGCCTTCAGAGAACAGAAAAAATGTATGAGAACAGCACTCCAAAAAGTACCACATACAAAAATACCCTTCAAAATCTGCACGTTTTTTAGAACGGGAAGAAGCAACTTGATATGGATGTACAAAAAAGTCTGTGAAGCAGAGAGGAACTTAGAGCTAGCTCCATTTGGATGTGGTGGCCGTGGAGGAAGGGAAAGTGTGGTACAGTTACCAGGAACGTCCCCAAAGCCAGGTAACCACCTAAGCACACAGCTCCTTTGTGGCTCTGGAAGGATGGCCAGGAACAGACCATTTTTGGCAGAATACAGGCTGGCAGGAGGCGGTCTCCTTGCTCACAGACCAAGCCTCCTGCCACGTGTCCTCACTGCACCCACAAACACAAAAGCTGAGGAAAGTTCTTTCCTGATCTGCAGGAAAGCACCTGAGAAAAAATCTCCTTTATTGTTAATTTTCCCTCCTCGTGAAGGCAGCCTGCAATGGCCTGAGATGCTGGCTACCTGCTCCCGGGCAGGAGGGGTCACTGGGAACACAGTCAGTCGTGTTCTCCTCTCCTGCAAATCCCACCGAGAGTCACGTCACTCCTGTGATCCCCTCAGCTGTGACACGCAACAAAAGCACTTCTAAAGGATGCCAGAACCATTTCACAGAGAAGAAATAAAATAATTTATTCTCCTTTCACAAGGAGGAGGCAGAACTGGTGTCTGTGATGTTTTGCAATATATATTGGTGCAGTATAACCACTGTTGATGTTCCAGCCCTGTCAAAGGAGTCCCAAAGGTCCCTCTGCCTACACAGGACCCTGCGACTGTGCAGTAACGTACTTGGCTTGTCACACTCCTCAGCGAGTCCAGCAGCCCCTCGTCACACCGACTCGTCACTCCTCTGCCAGGGTTCTCTTTGGTAATAACCAACAATAGTTAATAACTCATGGGCAGAAAGCTGCAGCATTAATTACTGTTACTACCCATTAGGGAAAATCAGACCAAACCACTCAGACCAGATAAACCCCAGGATACTATCTTCGACAATAATAACAAAATGTAATGTGAAATAAACTGCTAATTGCTTTTTAAGCAGGTCTTCCAAGTAATTCAAAGTCAGAGCGAAAAGGCTGACCCCGTTTTGGCACAGGAAAGCTGTACAGATTCCCGTGAGCCCCCATCCCCACGATGCTCCCCTGGGCGAAGGGACTCGGGTTGGGAAGTCTGTCACCAGTCCCTGCCAGCTCCAGAGAGCCTGCCCCACGGAGAGTCAGGGGAGATTGTCCCTCAGTGGGCACAACAAAACTTCTCCCCCCAGATGCTCACGATCCACTGAAATGCCCCCGGCTGACATTTCAAATAAATTGTTAAGAATAGGCCAACTGTGGTTATCGATTTTAAATCAAGCCAGCCACGTGGGCCATCACCACGGCTGTGCACTTCTGTGCTCAGAGGGAAATAAACATATTTGACCTTATCGTTCTGGTCCCTCTTCACCCCTGTGGACCTCCCCAGTGCAGGGCAGAGAAGGACCCTCCTCGAGGAGAGTCCGTACTGCTGCCACAGAGGCCAGGCGTGATTTATTCAAGTCCAGTTTGAAGGCAATACAATACATTCTCAGACATTCTTAACTTTGCATTTTAAAGGAGTAGCTTGAAGTGTGATCACTGGTCTGCCTCACACATTTGTTTGTTTGAATCTTTTTTCTGGCTATTAGAACAATATTCTATGAAAATATTCTTAAATTCCAAGTAACCATATGTTACACAAATAAGCAATAAAAGGACTTTCCAAAGCAAGACAGCGCTAAGTATTGTAGCTGTAAATCACCGGCTATCAGAATGTCGTACCATTATACAATATATCTACTATGAGTCATCCATTAAATTCTGTTCCAGTCAGAAACCTGGCACGCAGGGGGCTTGGGCGAAGATTAATGTTTTAATATACTTTTAAACCATTTACAGAACAAAATGTACACAGTTGCTCAGAGGGATCCCAGATTTTGTGTTACAAGAAAGCAAAATATGAAATTAAACAATGGGGGATGTTTTTAACAGCATCCGTGCCCATGTCTGCGCCAGCACAAAGCCCCCAGCCCAGAGTCAGCCATTCTGGACCGGGATTAATTGGGCCACATCCGCACCCCCCCGCATCCCGGCGGCCGCAGCCACTGCTCTCCCAGGGCTGGTGCTCTGGGGGACATCCCGGGGACCCCGGGGAGCACCCAGCATCCTGGCGTGGTGGGGGGACTGCGGGAAGCACCGGGCAGGGGGCAGGCAGAGCACACCCCAGACTCCTCACCCAGCAAGTGTGGCTTCCGAGCTGGAGCAGGTTCTGGGGAAGGCATCGCAAGTATGAGGCTGTGACGGAGGAGGAGGGCAGAGAGGCCACCAGAGAGGGACACTGAGGAGGAGGAGACAGCGGCAGGCAGGGCAGCCTAACAAACCAGTACCAGTAAAGACACTTTGATCCCCTTTCATTGATTTCTCTTCTGTTTCATGCTGCTTCTGCTTGGTCTCAAATACCTTCAGGAGGAGCAGGGTGGCTGGGTCAGGACTGAAAACGGGCCTTCTGAGAGGAATTCTTTCCAGAAGGGCCCTTCTTTTGAGGGATTTTGAAAAATACACTTTCTGTCTGATTCACACTCAAATTTCTCACATTTTAGGCAGATCCTTTTAAAGACACATGCTAAGGAAAACTTAATATGGAGTATAAACTCCAAATTAAACTCAAGTGTAATCTGAATTATCTTGAATGAGTAGTTGGTTCTACAACAGCAAAGTTTCTAAACATAATTGCTTTATATTCCCTGAGAAATATCAACACTGAAGCTGCTTCAACATGCTGCTCGTGGAGGAGGCCCTGCATGGAGAGCTCAGGAGCAGGAGTTCATTTGGAGATGCCATGTCCATACAGCACGGCACAGAATCCACCAAGAAGGCAAATGTTAGCATTTGCACTTGTTGATCTGACATTTAAGGAGACACTACTTGACATTTTTCCATGCCTGCCTCTTTAGGAGCTATTGATGTATCATCTCTTCAGTGTGCAGTCTCTCAGATGCACAGGGAACTGTGCAAGTGACAGAAACTTATGGTCACCCAGGTCCCATCCTACTTTTTTACGTCGCCTTCACTTTGTAATCACAAACCTTTCCCATCTCTTGAGGAAAACCAAAGGGGAAAATGATAAAAAGCCTCAGTAACACGTGGAGAACTGAATCAGTGCCAGGACTCAGCCCAGCACAGCTCCACACCAGGAAAGACCAACAGCCTTCCAGGGGCAGCTACGGCTCAGTTCTGAGGGTAAAACGAGTACACCTTCCTTAGGCAGCAGTTCCGCAGCTGTGTCATGAATTTCAGCAACCCTGGAGTGGATTCACTCATTTTGCACACACAGCCAGCATGTCCTTTTCTGTGACAACCTCATATAAAACCCCAGTTGGTTGCCGATGGCCGCTGCGGCCAGGCAGGAGAACTGCAGTCGGTGGCAACCAGCTTCGGGACAACAATGCATTTGGCAGCACAAAGTCCTTTCTGGAATCACATTTCTGGAGGAAACAGCACTCTGCCTCCTAAATAAGACCGTGTGTAGGGATCACACCGCTGAAATACCATCCACGGGATCTGATGGAGCCCGGGGTTATTTTGCCATGAAATATGTTGGGACTGTCCCCAGGAAAGCCATCATCCCTCCCTCGCCACGCTGCAGCAGTTTGGAGAGCCCTGAGACTACTAAAAGGTACTGCTTTGAAAGGAGAGAGAGTAACAGAAATGTAGACAGAACAATTCCTGAGGAAATTAAGATCAGGAAATCTCTCCCCAAAATACTTATTCTTAGACTCTTAGACCTCTTTTTTCCCCTCCTGATGGCAGATGTGCCATTGGGAAAGCAACCCTAACATCATTGTTAGAAAGCTCTGATTTCTCAGAGACAGTGACGGACCGACTTCTTTGCAGCCCAGATTCAGTTGTTCCGCATAAACCACAAATCCTCTTCACAGAAATGTCATTTATGAATGTTGTGAACGTCCTTTCATCATCCACCCTCTGTACCCCAGGCATGGCCACGCCACATCCGACCCGTGAACCTGACACCACCGGGATTACACGCTGCTTTGTCTCCTCCATTGCTGAGAGCTCTGAGAATATAAACAAGAATATAAAGACCTTGGGAAAAATGATGGGAATTACTGCTCCGTTTCATGCCATTTAGACCCTGACAGATCTGCCCTAAAATGAATGCAGATATTATTCCAGCCAGAAAATTTGTGAGAATTCTTTGAATATTGGCTGGTTCTGAATTCACAACGTCCTTCAGCCTGCATTAATCTCATTGAACCTCGCAGGAGGGGGGGGGCTTGATCTTCCCCGGAGTGGAAGAAGCGATTCTGATTTACATCTGAATTACTGCAGTATCACGCCAGTGCAACCCAGTGACTCCAGTGAGGGTGATACTGGTGCAGCGCAGCCCGAGCACTGCCCGTGAGCTCGCTGCTGGCAGAAGCTTGGTTTGCAAAGGATATGCTGGCATAAAACAAACTCATCCCCTTGATGGTGAACCCGTGTTCCTGAGCCGAGGTGACAGTCACCCCCTGCCTCCGGGGAAGGTCACAGGATGCTGAGGGTGGTCTCACCCCGGCGGTGTCTCCCTGCTGGAGCTGGAGGGCAGGAGAGCCCGTCCCTGGGCGTCCCACACCGCGCTGCTCCATCTCTGCGCGTCCCCTTGGCAGAGCCACCCCTCCAACCATCAGCTGCATCCTCCTTGACCCCCAGCAGGACCGACTGTTAAAATTGCTAGTCTTGTGAAACACACAAAAATGAAAAGTACAGATCTGATGTGCAAAACTGTATTAGGAGATTAGGCAGCAAGAGTTTTATTTATATTTCCTGGGTTTTTATTGGAGAACACAGTGTGCTGTTCACGTGTCACCCATCTTCTGTGGGTCAGTCCATTTAAGAAGGTGATAGAAGATACCCTTTCGTATAAAATCTGTTCCAGTAATACTGTAATTAATGCAGTTGTTATGTTACATGCAGCATGCAAAAAATTAGCTCAGGTAACATTTTTCAGTATATGTAGGTGTTCATACATGTGTCCTGTTTATTTTTGTTCAAGTGTCCCTGAACATTTTTCGTTATTTCTTCACTTCTTGTACGGCCACCTGGGTGCACATCATTTCTCTTCCATCACTTCAGATCCAGACAAATCTGAGAGAAAAAGAGAGAGAGAGAGATATATAAAATTATATAACCAGAAAGCAGGAAAAAATGATGTAAAACAGCAAATTAAGATATATCAAAAAAGTGGCTTGACTTACCATTTTAAAGGAGCAGAATGGTCATCAAAGGGTTTAGCTCTGCGAGTAAGGATGCTCTATGGCATCTCCTCATGTGAATGATGCTTTGGATGGTCTCACATCTTTGGTGTCTGGATCACAGGGAGAATGTGGGTGTCTTGGTGTTAGGGATGAATTTTCCTCTCTTGCTCCTGCTGTCTTTTCTCTTTGTTATTTAGCAAAATCTCATTTCTTCTTTCAAAACTATATGGATTTGTTGATATCCTAATAAATATGCATTCACTGCATATTTTAAATATTTTTAAAACAAATAAATAAATGAATATTTTCCCACGGCATTGCATATTTCAAATCTATTGTGAAACTTTAGGCAGGAGAAAAAAAGCAGAAGGTATTGGGGTGGAAACACATTTATTATTTTGCAGAGTAAATACCACCAACTTCATCTCTGTATATGGCCTTTATGTAAGGGGTATCTGTGGCTGTTTAAAATTCCTTCTGCACACATCAGCCCTTTGGTACCTACCAGAGGTAGGAGCCACACACACACAAGACTGTCCAGCTCACAAGATGCAAAGGTGGAAAGTGGATAAAAGCAGCAAACCGCAGGAAGTTGGCAGTCTTCTTAAAACAGGCTTAACAAAACAGAGGGTGCAGTAGGGATAGAAAAAACCTGAGCTATAAAGCCTTCATTAGCTCTGTTAATTGGCATTAAAATAAAAATATTATGGGAATCTACACGGTGGAATAAGTAAATTTTAAACATAAATCCTTTAAGACTTCATATACTCATATGGATACTACATGCAATTTCATCACGTTAAAAACTTGCCCTACTAATCATGTATTTACAGGTTTATTATGTTACTAAAAAAAAAAAAACCACCCCACATTTTCTAGTAATGTTGGGAGACTTCAAACATATTAACTGGTCACCTCACCTCCTTTTTTTCTGATTTTTTTTTAAGGAAGGGAAATCTAGAACGTGAGGCGAGATCCAGCAGTGAGTGTCCCCTCGTCCCACACCCGACTGTAGAAGGAAAACAGGAGACCCCGGGTTTTCTGGCCCCAAGTTTTGTACCTCACCTCTGGGCAGCAGTCACTGCTGAGCCAGACTGCAAATTGGGTTTGGAAGAAGAAAGTGCAGAACAAGGGCTTTGTTCATCAAAGCATGTGCTTAGCTAATTAGCTGAGGCCAGGTTTGGTGACACACACAGCTGCATCAGTAACACGGACGGAAGGATGATTTCTGTGACTGTGCTCAGCACTAAGGGTCCTCTTTGTATTTCGTCTGGGGACCCAAAAGCTGGCTGTGTACAGGAACCCCCTCACTGCTCTGGGGCTCCAAAGGCATCACTGGTGTCATCTCCACACTGTCTGTTGCCATAGCAACAGAGGCTGGGGGTTTCATCGGGTGATGCTCAGTGCGCCGGTACCTGTCCTCTGGCTACGTGGCTCTGCCAAAGCCTCCGAGAGCTTTGTCACTGACTTCAGTGGGGTCAAGATTTCACTTCAAATGAAGATCCAGCCCAAAGGCACTAGATACAGTTTTTTAATGAAATCTTAGAGCATGAGAGTCCTCTCTGCAGCCTCAACTTTTAGCTTAAAGCTCTTCACTTCAGATAATTTACTTCTGCTGTCAGGAAGTATCATTCTTAACCCTGAGGTAAAGATCTTACTTCAATTTAGGTGTCTGATATAATCTGCCAGCTTTTTATCTTCAAATATCAAGTGTATTTTCACTGCATCTCTCGCACAGGCTATATACATATGATACTATGCAGTAAGGAAAAACAAAATGTGTGATTTTTTAATTATTCTTCTGCTTTTCTATTTTTTAATCCCCAGATGGTCCTTGGGACTGGTGATGTTTCCTTTAGTCTCTATATTTCCTGCTTTAATTAGCTTACTTAACCAGTAAGCTTTAATTAGCTTACTTAACCAGCACACATTTGAGAGACACACACCTGATCAGATAATATCAGGTGCTAATGTTTAATTGCTTTCACAAAATTAGAAGCAGATAAATGGTTGAACCGTAAACTGAACGATGTGATTAGAAGACAAGCTGATGAGTGTTGTGACATAACTCCAGAGATTCCCAGGCTCCCATTAATTCCACCCCAGCCAGGGCTGCTGTAAGGACGGCGAGGGCGATGCAGGTGCTCTGCCCGACACTTGCCCCACACATTTACCAGCCGAGGGGCTGGCACAGTTTCTGTCACTCCCTACGAGTGGTGAAATGAGCCATAGCCTTGATTTACCACCCCCCAAGATAAAAATATACAGCAAATGGATCTTTCGGGGCGATTTTTTGTACCAAAGTCAAAGATTTTTATTGCTGGGTGAAAGATCTGAGCAAGGAATTCTCAGAGTCTGCGCCCTCCCCGGGTGTTTCAGCAGCTGGTGGGGGGATGCCCGGTTTGCCCGTGCCCACGTACCCGGGTGTAGGGCTGGGGGAGCCGTGTGGTACTTACAGGGTCCCTCTTCACCAGGCCGGGGTTAGGCACGACAGCAATGAGGTGGGCGATTGTAAACACCGAGTTCAGCACGTAAGAAAAAAACAAATTCTTATGCAGTGTTATCCTTTGACAGCTGAGGCTCCTGAAAAACATGTAGCAGAGGTCATAAATTAGTGTTTTTCTTCTGATGTCACTTTAACAAGCTCTTTCTGGCAACGGTATCTCAAGAATGCCTTTTGGCAAGGCACTGTTGGAAAATAGATGCTTTGCATTGCAGCCATAACCTCTCACAAATTTTTGGGTTTGTTTTCACACCTGTTTATCACCACACGCTTTTTAGACCGTGTTGTAAAGAGCCATCCGGCTCTATTCTCAGTCCTTGATGCCTTTCTTTATTTCGTGGTAATTGAGATATTTAATGGTGAAGCAGAACCCTGAGAATTATTAGATGCGCATGATACAAGTAATGAACATCAGGAATATTCCTGCTTTATAAGTGACTGTTCCCTGGAGACTCAATTTCTCAAATATTCAGATGAAAATTATTTTCTACTTTAGGAATTAATGGTGAGACAGGATGGGAACTCTGAGCAGGAATCCCCTTAAATTACAGGGGGATTTGTGTTCATAGCCTGTGTGTTTCTCACTCCAGCTGAGGTCCCCAACCAGACGTTGTTTTCCTGCTCAGAAGGAGCAGGCTTTTCTGAACGGCTGATTTAGAGGAGGGAAGGGTTCCTGCTGCTCTGGGTAGACAGAGTTTCACACGAGAAGTTCACAGAATTCTTGTGCAACCAAATGATGACTGCGGTTTCAGACCCGAACCACCTTTCCAATTCCTGCCCAAATCCTCCTGCCTCCGCCTCGCTGCTCCTGAGGCAGAGAGACACCCCAGGGCTGGCAGGAGGTGACTGCAGAAAGGCAATGATGTTGTTAGATAGTGCTGTGATGTCTGTGCTCAGTAGTCACCGAGAGCAAGCAGGCAAAAAAGAACCAGGTAGGAGAGCCCAGCTAACAGCAAGTACTGCTCTCATGGAGGTAAACCTCCCCCTCGGCACCAGGGGTCTTCTGCAGCCTGGAAGGGGGCACAGGCTGTGGCTTCCTGATGCTCTGTGTGTGGATGCTAATGCAGAAGGCACTTTCTTTAAATACAGAGAATGAATCTAACCAACTCAACTCTTCTCTGCCTATTTTGCTTGTTTGTTTATTTAGTGATTTTCCTCTTTTAGGTCTTTGGCCACCTGCCACTTATTCATAGTTCTCCTTACACCTGTTTTCTGAGTCATTGGAAGGAATTCTTCCTCTGGCCTGAGGTCATCTTTCTGGTTATGGTCATCATCATCCTGAAATCCTCATCACCTTTATTGACCTCTTTATTTATCAAGACACCTTCTTTAGTTCAGAATGTCCATGTGATGGAGGCCCTGGGGGCTAGGAATGAGAGTATCTCTTTACGCTTGCCCTGATTTTATATTCTTCCTTTAGCATCAGCCATTGGCAATTGTTGAGCACCAGACTAGGTGGGGCTAGGTGTGCTTTCAGTTTGATCTGCTGTAGGGCAGCACAATGGGCAAACAGTCCACTCTTTGGAGCTATTTTTCCTACACTGTGTTCTTGTGCTTAGTCCGTCTCTGTTTGCTCCCATCACAAATCCAGAAGAAGGAGGAAGGGGGGATGTTTGAGGGATGGTGTCTTCCCAAGTCCCCGTTACGCTGATGGAGCCCTGCTCCCCTGGGGATGGCTGAGCACCCTCCTGCCCATGGAAAGAGTGAATTAATGCCTTGTTGTGCTTTGCTCGCATGCACGGTGTTTGCTTTACCTGTTAAACTGTCTTTATCTCAACCCAAGAGTTTTCTCCCTTTTACCCTTCCAATTCTCTCCACTGTTTAGTTGCCAGCTGGGGTTAAACCATGACAGGCACTGTTTTAGGAATACTCTCTCTCTTGCTATGAGCCTGTATTGCTCAGTGATACTCACCACTACTGATCCAGGATTCCTTGCTGAAAGTACTGCAACACCTGCGGTGCCAGATCATTATGAATCTCAATACCCAAAACTGAAAGAAAAATAAATCTCTGCCAGGAAAGACTTATATGTGGGAAACAGAAACCTCTGCAGTCTGCTTTTTGCTGCCTCTACAGTCAAAGGCTATGACATGGCCCTGAAACCATCTCTTGCTATCTGACTGATTGACAGCTTGCCTCCTGTTGAAGGTTGAATAATCTATTGCTGTCGTAGGCAGATGATAGAAAACAACTATAAGTACCGTGAACCCTGCTCCCATACAGCTCTATTCTCTCTTTCTAAAGATCATAGCTTGGCTTCCTCTCTGTCCTCCCATTTTGCAGCACTTTCTCTTAATTCCTTTCTCTACTTCTTCCTGTAACCTTTGTGTCAGGGATTAGTCACGGAAGGGGAAGAGCTGGAGGAGGACAGGGCGGAGGATGTGTGTTATACCTGGGAGGCTGCTGCACAGATGAGTCTCTCGGGGCGGTCTGGGACGGGTCAGGATGGAGCGCTGCCCGTGACTCAGAGTGAGATGAGTCAGACAGACAGATCCTGCCTCCCTCGCGGCAAACTATCGCCTTCTCGGTCCAGTTTGGGTAGTCAATTTAAGCAGATCCCATCTTTACTGTCCCAAACAACTCTGAAGCCTCAGTACAGGATTTCAAATCAGATTAAACTGTGCTCTTCCCAGTCTCCTCAAAGCACTACTGTGGCTGTGGTAGTGTGCTCTTTATCTTTACATAGATGGGAAGGGAGTTCATCAGTCCATCGGGCAGAGTTTCTAGCTGTCTCTGTATCTGATGCATGTTATGACAGTCATCAAACTGCTTCTCTGGAAATCAGCAGAATTCACAACCTGTATTTTGGATCCTCTTATTTTAAGCTTGTAATTTTACAAGTTCCTATAGTCTATGCCAAGTCCAACCCCTGCATTTTCCTGTGTTTCCTAGACCCGCTCTTGGTGGTGGTGATGTTGGGGGCTTGTCCTTTTACTACCCCTCCTGTCTGGCAGCTGAGGCACAGACACCTAACTCTATAGCCCTAAGATTTATGCCACTTCTCCTGGCCTCTCAATTTACTGAGCATACCCTTTTCCAGCCTGTAGGGACACCCTCATCCATGGTGTACCTTTCCAGGGACCAGCAGCAGATGAAGGAACCAGGGAGCAGCTTTGCATAATGTTACTAAAAAAAAAAATTACTATTAGAAGGCACACAACCTAAACGTATTTATAGATATGTAGTACATATAGGTCAAAATTTGGACCAGAAACAGGCTAAGGTGCCTCGTGGAAGATTTAGATTAAATAACACCTGGACTCTGAGGCTAGAACTGATTTAAGCACCAGCACAAGGAATCTGGGGTTTTGTAGAGCACCTTCCACTGCAGGTGTTTAGAGCTGGCAACCATCCCTCGTGCACTAGAGGTGGGGGTTCAGCAAGAGGTTCCATTTATCCCCAATTTATGCAATTACTATGCATATATAAGCTGGAGTTTTGTGTTTGTTATCTACTGATTGAGCCTACAAATCTTATGTGTATTTGTGGCCAAAAAACCACATCTCAGAAATTCAGATAAGAAAGTTATCTGGTTCAGATAATAAGCTGATAATCCAGCAGGTAAAGTTTGTCACATTGTATTGAAGTTTATGCTGCAAAACATTAAATCCACCCATTTCAAGACACTAACAAATGCTAGTTAGTTTAGACACATAAAAACTCTGTACTAAAAGAGTAAATGTTTAAAACTAAATGGTCATGATAGAAAATGCACTGGGTGCACTTCATTGGGATTCCTTGACCTTAGAGGTGACAAAAAGAAATAGCTGAATGTTTACAGAAATACTCTTTGTTTTAAGTTAAGGCTGCAAGATAAAGGAATAGAAAAAATGAACAATTTTTCCCTTTTTAGACTTGGAAATTTCAGTGTGAAAAACTGATTTGGGAAATAAAGGTTCTACAGAGAATGAATCCTGGTCGTTTCGAAAATAAGGGACTCATGGCTTGGCATGAGTGGGAAGGTACTAATATAGAACCTGCTCATAATTCACGGTTACTATTTTGGTCACTAAGATCTGAAAAAATGCATTTAATGTATTTGTTAAATTTGACTTGGGCTTATTTTTGGCTTTCATTTTTCTAACATCAACCAAATTAAAAGAAATGATAAATTCTAGCCTGTATATAAAAGTCACGCTCTTTATCTGTCTATTGGAAAGAAAATTAATCCCTAAAAGTATTCTACACTTCTGGATTGCAAATATGTCTTTGAGCTGCTGAAATAGATGATGAATAAACAAAAGAATATAATTTATCTTTCTACGAGGATGATGATAAAGAAGCAAAGAATTGTGGTTTGGATGCTTGTCAAGGGTTTGAATCTGGTGACATTCACGTAGAAAGAAGCTTTCAAACACTCTCACACAGGCCTATTTGTGTTCTAGCATAATTCTAGCTTGAAATAATTTCCTGCAGGCTAAATTACAATCTTGAAACAGTTTACTCTTACAATGACAACAGTGATGGACTTTTAATTACCACAGGTTGCCATTATCGTGCAACTATTCTTTCTTAAACTCTGTAAAGAAGCTTGTGAAGAAAAAAATATATTTCTGTGTTCCATTTTCTTCGTATTCCTGATTGCTCAAAGAATTATACATTCTTTGGGGAGTTTTTTTGGCAATTATAGGTTACAATTGTGTATGTTACCTGTTCAGAAGCATTTGTAATTGTTTCTCAAATTGCTCTCACTTTGTTCCCCAGTGTGCAGTGTGGGGATTGCTCATTTGTATCCTTGGAAACCTTTATGTAGGTAAAGTTGGGAAACTTTACCTGTCCTATTAGATCACTTCGCATTTATCTCCAGATGCACCCTGCTGATGGTGGGCATTTCCCTCTCTGGTCATAAAGGGATGCCCTGGATACCTGTCTAGGAGTAACTGATGCCCTTTGCTGAAAACAAAAAGGTGCTCAGAAAAGCTGTTTCTCACTGCCGTGTCCCCTTCCAAGCTTTTCTTTGGTAACCACTCGAGATCCCTCAGGGAAAGAAGAGAGAGTGTCTGTAAGAAACACTTACTTGAAATAGAAGAAAATTGCCAAGGAAATCAACAGGGATGTTATAGACAAAGCATGGCCAACGATCGCCATATAATAAAGTATGAACGCCATCTGCAATTTAACAAAAAGAAAAGGCAAATGTGAACAATTTGCAGACAGTCTATTTTTCTTCTCATTGAGGAAGAATCCACAAAATAAACCTCCCATTTTCTATTACTTTTCTTTCAAAAGTTCCTTTTCAATACACTTTAAATATTGGCAATCTATTAAATAGCATGACTCATGGTCCAAAGATGAGATAAGTGTTTCTTACATGAGCTGTTTCTGCTGCATTGAAGGAACTGGCAAGATCCCTGCTCACACTGTGCATCACTAACTGTCCCCAGCCCTAGGAAAGCACAGCAGACATAATACATTCCGATTTTCAAAAAGCCTATGACAAATTTCCACATAAAAAAAAAACCCTGAACTAGGTTGCTGTAGGATTAGTAGAAAGCTTTTATGGTTTGAAAGCAGCTTAAACAACAGGGAGCAAAAGCTTATGGTCACTTGTGGGGATGAGTCACTGGTTAGGTGCCCTCAGGACTGGGATTGGGGCTTGCTTTTGTTCAACATATTCATCAGCGACCTGGTGCAGAGAAATCTCTAAGTTTCCTGGTCATACTTAGGTCTTTCAGACAATAGTGAGGGATTACAGAAGGACCTCCCATAACTGAGGGAATAAGAAGACACCATATGAGCTTTAAAAGAGAAGAAAGTGGGGTGCCACACCAAGGGGCAAATGATCTAAACCCAGCCTACACAATGCTAAGCTCAGAACTGGAAATGGAACTGGAGTCCCCCTGATCAGTTCTCTGAATCGTTGGCTTAGCGTGGAACGACAGCCAAAAAGCCAACACAACATTGGGCATCATCAGGCACTGAGGGAAAGGCATTGAGCTCTTGGGCTGCAGAATGCTGCAGTATCTAAATGCCATCCTTTGGTCTCAGCCAGGCTCTAAAGCATCCCCCAGCTGCCAGCAGAGAGCAGGAGGCTAAACAGTGTGCCAGGCTCCACCACTGCCTTCCGCTCCAAAAGCCCTAATGTAGTACCAGCCTCTCCCCCAAAGAAAGACTAGACAGGAGGTCTTAGTTCCTCTGCTGGGTTTATTTTCTTTTCAGCTCCACTTCATTCATTACTCTCTTGTTGTCCATGAGCAGTTTTCCTTTTTTGCTTTCTGTAGCCCTAAGTTTTGCCACTCGCATTTTTGTGGGGTTTCTGAGTAATTTTAGACTTTCATTTGAAAACAAATATGAATACAATTCAGAAAACAAAGTCATTCCTCTAAGGATAGGTGCACATCTTATTTAGTTTGTTCTTCAGTCATTTGACAACTTTGGAATCAGGTCCTGCTTTCATTACCCTAAGTGGTGGTGGCCTGATTCAGATTTAAACGAAAGCCACACTTATATCATCCTGAACATGCACAACAGTCATGATCTGAATGTAAATATTCCCCAAGTTATGGAAGTTTATGCATATTAACTACAGATACCCTATGTTCCCTACTTTTCCTTCACAAAGTGTGACCACACCATTGCCAGTGAGGACAAACACCTGACAACTTTTTCTGAGGGCACCAGCAGCCCTAGAGAGAGAAGCCCAGACTGCAGAGACCATCGAATCCTAGAACTGTCAAGGATGAGGCACCTTTCTGAACACAGAGCAGTGGGAGAGGTTCTAACCTGTGTGCCCCTGACATTTTTTCTGCTTCAACAGTCATTGCTATGGTTTTTTGTGATATTAGATTGATAAAATTTTAAAGCCTGAATACAGATGAACTGTTCAAAAACACGTTTTGCTGCCTGTCCTGTACACAACCCTCACCTGAACCAGAGAGGTGTAGGAAGGGCTTCCAGAGAGCTACACACAAATCTATGTGCTCCCCAGAGGACTTGTGGTTATTCACACCCTCTACCTTTCAGTGTACAACTCCTAAATAGGTTAAACTGTCTATCTGAGACTCAGCAATAGCATTTTTGATTACTTCACATAAAATTACTACAGTAACTGCTCAAAAAAAGCTTTCCAAATATAACACTGAAGAGAGATCAGAATGGACTGGACCATCAGCTAACAAAGCGTAGAGTCTGTCACTGCATTTTTAAGAACTGGCTGCAGTATGGTTTATTTTTACGTGATCTGTCTCAGAAGTGCAGCACACCGGTGCTTCCATTTGCCTTCAAACAAATAACGCGCTATCTTTTTAATTTCTGCACTCTTTGAAATGGCAATCTGTCACGTCCCTTCCTCTTGCAACATGCTGACTCATCACATTCATAGTTTATGCAGATATTTTTCACACTGGGCTTACAAAATTTCTAACTTCTGAAACATAGAAATGTTTTGGGTTGTTTTTTTTGCATCCCCCTAGAATTCTTCAACTGAGGAACAAGAATTCTCTACTAGGGACACCTCCTACTCGGTAATTATATTATCCATACGTACATGTAAACAGTCCACAAATGAAGCATACTCCTAGTTTTGAAGATTTGGATTAAAGGTCATAATCTAACTTGGCATTTCTGTAGAGACAGATTCTTCTTGCATTTTCGAGTATTTTTGGTTCCAGAAGAATCTTGATGTATGTGTAATTTTCCTTTGTGTTCTATCTGCACTTTGCTTGAATGATGTTCAAAACTCTTCTTCTGGAAGGCACGGGTAATAGGTAACAGAACTACATTTTTTTGCCTCCCTACATGGGCCAACATCTGGAAAAAGTATATTTTTATGATGCTTCCATTTAATGCCTCTGTGAGCTCAGATTGCTACTATTATTCTCTTTGTCACATAGGTGAGCCCTATTTTATCATGATGGTTCCTCGTACTGCAAAAACTTTTAGAATTCACCTCCTGCCTAGTCCAGTAGACTTTTCCAAGGCCCTTTGGGCTGGATCATTACTAAATATAGCCACATACTGGTTTTTGGCTGCATAAAAAGAGATCTTCCAACACAAACCCCAAATCAAATCACTTTTTGACTCTTTTCCTTCCACAATTCCAAACAGTCACAAATTATTCTGTCACAAATCTGAAATCAGATTTTCCTGGAGCTCCACTCACATTGGAGAAATATTTATTTTCATAAGCTTCCCTAACTTAATTTTTTTAAGCTTCTCTCAGATTTCCCTCTCCTTGTTTCTTTTGGTGCTTTTTTATTTACCTCTCCTCTTTCAGCTTAGCAACTTGATTTTGGAAATATTGATGCAAATTCATTATTTTAAATAGTCTCGATGACTTCAGTCAAACTGTTAAAGTTAAATGTGTTCAGGCTTGTAGGATTTTCTGGATTAATGGTACCTTGTCAAATACTTCTTTTCAAAGGGAGTGAGTACAGGGTGATATTCTTTGCTTATGAAAAATAATATTAACATAATATTTCTAGCCCTACAGAGAAGACGTCAACAGCTTGGAAGATGCTTGCTACAGAACACAAAATTGAAATTCTAAAGGATCATTTTACAACTGTTGGACAATCAGGGAAAATAATAGCACTTAAAAATTGCATTTGTAAAGTAGTGCAAAACTTGTTGCATGAATTGCTGCTAAATTATCCACCCCGTAGCGAACCTGTATTTAGGTTGCAGCACTTATCAAGTAATTTTCATGAGCTAAAATCACGAGTACAATGCATTTCAATTCTTGCGAAATAAATAAAGCTGAAAGACTATTCTGACCTCTGTCATATGTGTCTTACTGCTAGCCTAGCCCAAAGCCATTCCCAAACAGTCCCTGCCTCCTCCCCCGCAGCGTACCTTCAGTTTCTCCGAGGTGAAGGAGTTGCACAGGGTGTAGTTGGACCAAGTTCGGTTGCTCTCAGGATGCCGGAACCAGTTTCCAGTTTCATCACAGTATTTTGAAGCCCTCTCTGGTGATAAATTGCAATAATAGTCATTTTAGCATATGCATATTACACATTTAAAAATCCATAAAAAAGAATTTTTATGTTTGGAAATACAATGCCTGTGTAACAAAATGCAAAGGATTTTCAACTTGTGCAATTAATATACATTTGTTTGGGATTGTTTCTCAGAGATTTATCTGATGATGTACATGTTGTTCACCTGTCTCCTCTTGTCTTGGATCAATGCAGTAAAATACATACACACAGTAAATACATATACACAGTAAAGTACATAAAGTACATACACACAGCCTTCATTCAGATGCAAGGAGTTATACACAGTAAATACATACACACAGTAAAGTACATATAGACAGTAAAGTACATGCACACAGCCTTCATTCAGATGCAAGGAGTTATGTGATAATAGTTCATTTACAGATGCTTTTGGAAGATGTTCGTGGAAGAGAAAGCAATGTCAGAACCTGAAGGCAACATGCAGGGTTTCAGACCAGCTCCTGTGGCCTCCCTCCTTTGGGAGCCACTGGAAATTGTGCCTGAGTCACAAAGGACAGGTAAGATAGAAACTTAACTTATTTGATGTTTTCCTAGATAGTGAACAGCTGTTTATTTATGAAAGCCACAGTTTCTCAGGTCTGACCTAAAATAGTCTAAAAAGCCTACCTTGACTTCCCTTTGCCTATTCTAGCTTTACAATTTTATTGGCTTTATACATAGATTATCAGCATTTCCAGTCAATACCCTTTTACGGAGCCAATTACAATCTAAACATACACATTTTTTGGTTTTTGTTGTCAATGTTTGCATTTGTTTTTCTTAATCAGCTCTGATGATTAATGATTCTACCAATTTGGAAGATTCGTATTCCCTCTGTACACCCTAAAAAAAGCAGTTGATCGTATTGTCCAGGTAAGGACTGTATGGGCTGAGCTGTCCTCCTCTGACGAGAAATACACTTCATATAGTGCCATTGCAAAAAAACCAAGAAGACAAAAAAAGACAATCCTCCAGAACACAGCATATTTTCAAAATTACTGAGAGTCTCAAAGCATTGTTTTGGGGGACTCGTTGAAAATCAATACGTGCACCACCAGCAGCAAGAGGAACAGTACGTGTTATCTGCGCCTTCCATGGCTGCAGTGGGGATAATCTCGGGCTGCCTGTGGAGCAACGCTCCCCGCCAACTTGCTGCCAGATGTTATCTAAAGCTGGAAAAAGTTTTCAGTCTAGATAAAAGATTAATGGTTGTGCTACCAGGGAACAGGGTGTACAAACACCGTACCTGCCATCCCACACACTCGGCAAAGCACAGCGTTTTGTTAATGTGCTCTAGAGCACAATGCCGGCACTCGTGTTTTGTTAATGTGCTCTAGAGCACAATGCCATAATGCTAAGCCCATCCATCCTCTCTGTCCCGCAGTGCCCAGGAGAGCACTCTGCTGAAGCTCAGCGTGGCCTCTCCACGTTAGAGACAAACCTGTTGCCTCATAGCTGTCCTTGAAGCCAGCCAGACACAACTGATCCTGCTCTGGAAGCAGCCAGGATTTCTCACTGTGATGTTGTCAGAACGTGGGGCTGGGGGAAGAGCCCCCCTTCTGCCTATCCCAGTGACCCAAACAGGTCAAATGCTCCTTCTGGATCTGTGCTTTGACATGGAAATACAGCTGTGAGTCTGCAACCCAACCATGGCCCCACTGCAAGTCACTCTACAGGCACCCACTGGGAGGTGTGGGATGATGAACCTGGGAGCCTTCTCTCTAGAAGAATCTAGTGACCTCTGAAAACACACACTGTGGAAGGAGGGGGGCAAGGCAGCACCAGCACGGCAAAATGGAAGCATAGGCTTTAAGATGATTCAAAACATATGTAAACTCCAATTTTTCAGGCTCTGTCTGTACCCTGTCACTTGGGTAGGGAGCCACTTGGGCACTATGTTATTCGAAGGGGAGGCACTTTGGGAGGGATTTGTCTCACCTGACGTGAGCGACCTCAGCATCACACATTTCAGAGGCTGCTGTGCGGGGTCTCTGAAGCTCCCTGTCTGAGCAAAACGGATGAGAGAAATCTCATCCACAAGGGCAGCTTCAGGGGAGCGTTGAAGCGTCCCAAAAGCTTAACCAGTAGTTTTGCATGTGGTATTGTTTGTGCTACCAACAGCACTTCTGTGAATCATATTTTCATAAAAACCCTCAGTCATTTACATATAATAAGTATCTTAACCCACTAACTCTGGAGCAAACACTATACACCTATCTATCTATCTATCTATCTATCTATCTATCTATCTATCTATCTATCAATTCTATCAATCAGGTTTTTTACAATTAGACCAACTCTAGAGCTAGCAGTTGTTAAACGAGTCAACACTGGTTTTTTATTTATTGTTGAGTTATAAGCTGGAAGTAGAGAGAAGTTTTCCTCTGTTGCAGTGCACGCTCAGCACATACCAGACGTTGGATTCTTTGCCATAGTTTGGACAGACCTGTGTAGTGCTTAGTTTTGCAGATGAGGGAATAGCTGATGTAGCACATCTGATTTACTTACATCTGTGGTAAAATAGTCTAGAAATTTTTATTTTCATAACTGAAAAAATAATCTGACATAGTACGATGGAGATCCTAGAAAACTTGAATTGCAGTGTCCTAATAGGTGAAGAGTTATCACTATCGTAAGAATGCCTCAGTCAGCAGAACTGGAATCTGTATAATAGAGTCATATTGTGCCTGGATAAAATAGGAATATAAAACACAGTTTCAAGAGAAACTGTGCATGCTGCCTGAACAGGAGGGTATAAATCTCAGCCCTGCTCAGAGCTTCACAGCCAGGAGTGGATGAGACCACGAGTGTCCTCCTGTCACTGGAGATAGAGCAGCAGGTACAGCTACAGCCATCAGTGAGCTGACGGGCAGTGCTCCTGCAGACCTCAGTGCCGCCCACAGCAGCACAGCATGAAATACCTCTTTCAGAAGGCCACGGGGCCACTTGCCTGCCTAAAATACATGCTGGGGTGGTTTGATATCATGGAGACTTAATGGGAAGCAAATCTGACAGGCACTGCAGTTTTAATCTTGTAAAATCATTGTTCTTTAGGATGAATTTTCTGCTTCTCAGCAGAATCCAGCTGCGTTTTGTTAAACAGGCGTAAGTTACCAAAGGAAATAATGAGTCGTGGCACAAAGCCCGACGGAATTCCCAGCTGAACCTGTGCTTTGGGCCACCTCTGAGTGGCAGCCACTTCCATTAGCAGTTGAAAGACTCCTAGTCCCCCCCGTGATTTCTTGTCTCCTTCCTACTTTATGAAGTCCCAGTGTGACTGGGCAAAGCACAGGCTGGCTGCCCTCCCGTTTGGTGCCACAGCTGTAGCCCGTGCTGGGGAACTCAACAGCTCCTCCAGGAAAGCGGCTCTGGCTCAGGCAGGAGATGCTGAGCTGCCCCCGAGCCAGGGAAACGGGGCTGACCCACCAGGAGACAGGCAAAGAAGCTGCCAGAGGTGCTGACAAGGAGAAGAGGGATGTGCCAGGGGAAAATACCGAGCTCAGGAGAGCAAAAGTATTGTTCCTAAACAGGGCAGCAGAAAGAACAGCAGGAAATCAATTACTGCAGGAGGCTTTTCCCTCTATGGCTCTGTACAGAGAACAGGAACACTAAAATATTCCCAAATCTGCACGTTTTAAAGCGTGGTGGAAAGAGTAACGGCGGTACGCACAGCCTGTGGGCCTGACTCTGCACCACACGTCTGTGTCTCAAGGAGTGATCTGCCACCAGCTGTAGGAGCTACAGACCTGGGCAGCCATCAGCACGAGGAAGTGGAGTGAGGAGCTTCTCCACGGATGGTTCCAAGTGCTATGTGAAGAGCCCTGCTGTAGCACAGCAATTAGCTGAGAGGAAGCCACTGGAGACAAGTGGACAAGTGGAAAAGCTGGGAAGAGGTGGCTTGGGAGCAAGCAGGAGAGTGGCTCTGTCATCACCCCCACACACTGGGCACGGGGACCGTGAGTCGGGGGGAGCCTCCTGTGATGGCAGGGCTGCCCACCACCCAGTTCTGCAGCTATTAGGGGAGCAGCACATGGAACGCACACAGACTAAGACAGTGAGTTTCCAAGACTTCCTTTCAGAGACAAAGCTATAAAAAGAAATACTGTACCAGTTGGATCAAAGTCTGGGAAATAATCCGGACAATTCTGAGCAGTGATTCTTCCAGCAGGTGTGTCGTCCCAGCACAACCAGCCATCCCATGTTCGGTTGCAGAACAAACCTGGGTAATTAAGAGGAATGCAGTAATTAATTCACAGACGGTCACTCCCAAGGAATATTGCTGTCTGCAGACAATTTTCTTTCTGCAATAAAATCCCTTGTTATTGCTACACTTTGAGTGGCCTTCCAGTCCCTCAAGGGGCTCCAGGAGAGATGGGGAGGGACTCTGGATCAGGGAAGGGAGCCCTAGGATGAGAGGGAAGGGTTTGACACTGAAAGAGGGGAGATGGAGATGAGATGTGGGGAAGAACTTGTTTGCTGTGAGGGTGGTGAGAGCCTGGCCCAGGTTGGCCAGAGAAGCTGTGGCTGCCCCATCCCTGGAGGGGTTCAAGGCCAGGTTGGAGGGGGCCTGGAGCAACCTGGTCTGGTGGGAGGTGTCCCTGCCCAGGGCAGGGGGTGGCACTGGGGGGGCTTTAAGGTCCCTTCCCACCCAAACCATTCCATGATTCTATGATTCAGGTGCTGCAAGGTACTTGTTTTTGCTGATCTGATGTTAGTGGTGTTTATTTTACTGGAAAGTAATGTTTTTAAGCATGTTGAATTCAACTTTGAATGTAAGGTCTGATCCTACAAATTCCTCAAGTTGCATCACTAACTGTTTTAAAGTCAAAACAGTTGTGGACTAAAATTAAAAGCATAAAACTTTCCAAATTAATTTTTTACAGATTAGATGTACAGCAAAAAAGATATTTTTATGAACAATTTTTCTTCATTAGCTAAGATTTTATGCACATGTATTTTTCCATTGTCAAGTTAAATGTGCTAATGCTCGTGTTCACTTAACCATCATATCAGCAGTTTGTCATCTTTCCTTCAGGCATTCTCGTGTTCTTCTCCGGCTTTGAGATGTATCTGAATGACTTCTAGGAATCATTTTGTAATATCAAAGGAAAAGAAGAGCAGAAAATGTTTGCAACTCGAGCTTTTGCAAAGCAAACTGAACTACATTTATATTTAAGAGATCACCATTCCCAAACAAGTCTTGGTGTGAGCCCACTGAAAGGTTCTGGAGAAGGATATTCCCTCAGCAAGATAGAGAGTTTCTAAGTCTTTTTTACCTTTCTTCTTATACGGAGGAGCTCTGTTCATCCTCTCATAGCACTTGAACTGCGAATCTATTATCTTCTGTCGTATGACTGAGTTTTCAGTTACTACAGGCTCTAATGTAGGATCAGTATAATTTACAGTAGAAGAAAGACTTGGAACCATTCTCTGCACAGAAAGGAAAAACTGTCAGTACAAGTGAATAAACCAGGTGGATAAAATGAAAAAGTGAGGATCAGAAAACACTCTGCATTCTTCAAAGCCATTTACTTGCACGTGTGTAGCATTATGATTGCCCTTGTACTGCTTGCAAAGCAAGTGCTGAATTTTTACTAATTTATTTCATTATGAAATCAAGATTTTAACCAAGCCCTTTTTCCTGGCACAACAGAGGACCATTAAATACTTGATAAAATCTTCAAAACCTTTTCATTTAGCTTAGTGATCTGTAAAAAAAATGTGTATCTTCCCAAAGTTACACACCTATATTTCTGCTCATTTGTGCTGATTTCTTTCCAGGCTGCCTGGACAAAGTACCTCAGTGCCACAGTCTTGAAACTGAGTATTTCATGTTTTATTTCACCTGCTTTGAGCTCCTTCAACTGTTAAGGCCATAGAAACAGAGGGCAGAGAGTTTACACTTCACTACCCGGCCTTAGCTCTTAGTTAAGTACCTAAATTTGAGAGTCTGAATAATAAGGTCTTTGATCAAGTGGCATCTTCTGACTTGTCTCACTCTGAGCTGCCTGCAGGGCAAAGGGGATCATTGCCCCTGGAAGGCAAAAATCTCAGACAGAAAGGTCACTTATCTTTTTTCCATCTCCCCATCCATCCATCCCTCCATCCATCCATCCCTCCATCTATCCATCCCTCCATCCCTCCCTCCCTTCTTCCCTCACTCCCTTCCTGTTGCACAGCCCAGGTCTGTGAGCCAGGGCTGAGATGAGAGTGTGGAGCTTTAGTTAATTCTGTTCTGCCCTGATCCCCGATCAGGACACTTCTCTGCACGAAGGTGATAGGAAAGGATTAGTTAATAATAATATAAATAAATAATTCACGGCTTAATAATCAGGAGGTGTTCATAGCCTGAAAATGATTGGTATGACTTCTTCAGAAGAGAACTAAGTGATGTCCCATGCAGCAGTTTAGCAGCCGTACATATGATGTCACTCCTAAAAGTCCAAGTAAATGACGTCATACATACGACCACCAAGCCACCACGTGACAAATGACTGTGATAAGAAAATGAATTATCATCAAAAAGAACCAAACCAGGCTGCTGGGAATGCTGGAGTTCACTTACACCTAGAATTAATAAAGGAATCTAGAGAAAGCAATTTGGCTTCATTATTAAATGATATCAAAAAGAACAACTCGTGCCCGGTTCCTGTAAGAGGCGCCTGCTATGAACCTGGGCAGGGCTCTGCCTGTTTCTGCAGGAGAGAATCCAGAGAAAGCAAGCACAGAATTCATTCTTTTTTTTTTTTTTCCACAAAACTTTGGACATGATGAACAACATCCCCAAATATTTTTCTTCCACCATCAAGAAGCTCGAAGGAGACTAACTGTTGGCTTCACAGGACATTTAGGAAAAGAAGGCATTTGTAGCTTTCTTCGCTTTTGTTTTTTCCCTCTTTCCACTAAATACCGTAATTTTGCAACATTTATTGTTGATCTCAGTCAAAATACATTTCAATTTCTGGATGCTCCAGGTGTTTGCTATAGATTTCGAGAGCTCAGACATTCACTGCTTTTCAAACTGCTCCGTGCAGTCACCCCTGTGTGGGTCACTCACCTCCTTGGTACACTGCTTTTCAAACTGCTCCGCGCAGTCACCCCTGTGTGGGTCACTCACCTCCCATCCTTCAACACATCCCCGCGGTGAGGGGGAGCCCGGTGGGATCAGGCTGGTGGCAGAGCCCCCCTCATGCCTCGATGGTTGCGTTTGAGCTGCTTTTCACAGCTGCTGGTGTCAGGACAGAGAAGACAACGGCTGTGGTGCCTCAGGGAGATCCTTAGGGCAGGGCACTCAGTAAATATAACAGTAATTCTTATCCATCACAAATGTGCTAGGAAATGGCAGACAATTTCTTGGGGGAAATACTTTGATGTGAGATGTTTTACTCAACCCCCAAATGTTAACATTTTCCCATAGTCAGTTACTGTTGAAGCAGGATGGAGATTATCTCACGGTGAGATCCCACACGACTTACACGGCACGTTTTGGCAGCTGTTTAAAGAGGCAGGAGATTATCAGCCACAGCAGATAAAGACAAGGTACTTGTAATGAGAAGCACCTCATGAATCTTTCAGTTGTTTTCCGTGACTGTGGGATTTGCACGGAAGCTTTACTCCCAGAATAGGTTGATGCAAACTGCGGGCTCAAAGGAAGGCTGCAGAAGACTCCATGGGTTTTTGCTTGCAGCTCTGATTATCACCTTGCAAGAGGCCTCCTTAAGGCAATCAGCTCCATAGCAACCTTCTGACTTTTTTAAAAAAGCAAAGACAGAGAAAAGAACGTCCCGATGACCCCTGAAACTGAGGTGAATAGAACAGGACACAGCATTCCTCTCCCACTTGGGAAACCAGCTCGAGTCTCTCAGTAGTTCTCACCACCTTCAATCAGCAGCAGCTTGCTTTCCTGAGTTCTCCTTGTGTGAGAAGAGCTCCAGAGCCTGCAAATCCACTTCCTTACAGCTTGAAGCAACCCATAGTTACCCAGGGAAAAGCACATCAACCCTCATTGACAGGATAGGACCAAACTACCATTTGTAGGCACTAGATGACAATTCTTACTTGACAAAATTGTGCAGAGAATAAAACTCTCTCTTCTCAATGTCTTGGAAAATTGACCAGTCGCACAGGAAAAAGACCCAAGGTTGTTTCCTTCTCACTCTGTGTCCGTGCCCCTGGACACATTGTCCTGATGCGCCGCTTTCTTGTGGAGGGAAATGTGCCCTGAAGAGATGAACTAATTGCTCCAGCACACAGGGGCTCATGGACTTGGGGATGATTCCTCAAATCATTAACTAATTCTGCACAAATTCTTTTGAGACCAAGTTAGCAGAGATATTCCTTGTCCTGCTCACCAGCTCTTCTTTGGTTGAGGGTCCTAATCCTGAGCCATGAATTCAGCATTTTATCAAAGTGGAGGGTTCTCTGTTGTCCTGGGTTCTCCATGATCTCATTTGTTTTATTTTACCTCCTTCTATCCATCATTCTATTACTGCTCTACGTTCCTTCCCTCCTTTTTATCCACATAAATGTCAGTGGCAAACAGCACTGTGGGCACGTTATGGCGGGCTGAAGGAAGAGGAGGGACCCAACCCAACAAACAAACCGGGGGGAGCAGTCCCTGCTCTTCCCCAACGTGTCTCCCAGCCCCATTTCCACAACTTGCAGCCAGAAAGGATGGGAACTGGTGGGGAGACACGCACAGATCTTCCACATGTAGGTGTCAGAGGAGAAGAGGAGAAGAATAGGGGCATGAGGAGATAACCGACAAAACACAGTAAGAATCCAAGTTTTCTTCAGGAACACAGAGATTAGCAGTTAATTGGGGAATAAGGCGGCATCCAGCACGCCAGTTATTGGTACCACCCCAGGGCAGAGAGGTGCCTGTCCCCAGCAGCATCACTCAGACATATTCTGATCGCTCGGGAACTGAGGCTCTGGGAAGTATTCTCATTTCTGACCTCCTGTAATGTCTAATAGTCTATGATAATTGCTAATAATTTGAGGTTTCACAAGCAGAGATCAGAGAAAGCATTCCACTTACCTGAGAGGTATTTAGGCAAGTAGAAATTAATTTGCTACATATTTAGAACAACAGCTACTCAGTCATGTTGCATAGATTGAAATTACTGTAATATTGATATTAAACAGTTGAAAATAGCATTTGAACTGAATAAATAAACTTGATCCTGTTATTTTTCATTTCAGTTGCTTTTCTAACAGCAGAGTAACTATAAACAGTCAAAATCTGCAATCACTTAAGTCAGTCTGTTTCACACAACAACGTTAAGGAAGTTTTCAAACACATCAGTTTCCATGTCACTGATGTGCTGTAGCCTGTAAAACACAGAAATGAAAAATCACACACACATTACCTTCTTCAGGCTTGCAGTTCTGTCTCACCACGAAACAATGGTTTCAAGTTCAAACTTTTAGGAGATATCTGACTTAGAACCTTTATTAACCTTACTTTTAAATGTATTAGTAAGGGAACTCGTTCCTTCCCCTGTGCCGTATAACGAATACTCATTTTTTCAACACTCATTTTTCTGAACATCACCACAAGTTCACATTTGGCAGGTGCCACGAGAGGCTCAGTTTGTCTCGTACTTACAATTAGAAGGATGATCAGTAAGAAGCAACTGTGGGTTGCCTTTTTCATCGTGGAGTCTTCCTGGAGAGACACGCTGTGGCTGACCCTTCTGGGAATTAAACAAAACCAAAAGCAGTATTAGACTTTATCTGTTAAGATAAACTCCTTGCCTTTGTGTAAAAGCGGACTCTGTGTGTGTGTGTGCCCCCAGCCCTGTGTGTGCTCCTGTCTGATTCCCCTGGGACAGGTAATGGCACATGTGGATGCAATCTCCTACCAGAGCCAAAGCGGAGTGTGGCCGACGTGTCACTGATGACACAAAACACAAAACGATGGAAAAGAGGATTCAGAGGATTTGTCTCTAATAAGAAGTAGCCTTATCACTGTCTGAGCCTTGCCAGAACCGCTCTGGTGTTCCAGAGGTAATGGGACAGGCAAACGACAAAGAAATAATGTGTAATTATGCTGTCAGCCACAGATTTGTATTTGATCAGCAATGACAGGCAACTCAATTGAAGCAAAAATTGGACAGTCAGATCAGAGGAAAATGCCTGGAATTGTCTACATTGTCTCTAGACTATTCACGGTCGCGTGTATTGGTTCAAGACAGCCCAGAAGAGTGGTGAGCACACAAACTACGGGGCTTGGTCAGCTATGCCAGGAGCCAGCGGGTGAGTGGGATACGAGTGTTCCTACAGCTCCGTGGTGCGTTGCCCAGCGCCCTGCGTGTTGCACAGAACTGGTACTTTTTCACACCAGCTGGCACTGGTGCCCACGGAGGGCCCGCTGGCCACCGAGGGACAGCTGGGCAGCCCAGAGCAGCTCATGTGGAGTGTAGGTGCTGTCCTCATTCCTATTTCTACACTATTTATCCTTCTTCAGTAAGTTCAACAATGTCCTCTCATGAAGTTAAGATAATATAAGGTGCCTCACACATTTAAGTTTTAGAACATCCATATTCAGTGGTTAATCACAGGCACATTGCTAAAGCCCAGAATGGTATTAATTCTTCATCCTCTGTTGCTTATAATAGTTACGTATGAACTCCCAGTCTGTTTTTAAAACTAGAATATTGTTCTTTCTCTCTTCGTAAATGTAGCACAGCTCATTATGTGCTAAGATATTCCTCCTGCTTCAGCTATTAGAGTCATGCCACTGACACCTTGGGATTAGCCCTGCAGCTCACCCCCGGCCAGGCACAGCATCCTGCTCAGCGACGACATCTCCCTGGCTCCATCATCTCCCTGGCTCCATCATCTCCCTGGCTCCATCATCTCCCTGGCTCCCTCCCCATTTCTCCACCCGCAGCACGGATCCGAGCAGGGCTTGGATTGCAACCACCACAGGGCTCCCCAGGGGTGGGACAGCCCCCCCTGCTCAGCCATTTGCAACAACAAGGGGGGTCAAACGGAGTCAGAAGGGAGGGTGTCGGGGGGAAGATTCAAAAGAGGGCAGCACAGCAACAGTTTTTTGCGAAGGTCTAAAAACAGGGTAAGAAAGCAAGCCCTTTTCGGAGGAAGAACTGGAAAAAAGTTCTCATTTAATTATTCTGCTCTGATAATTCTGCAACACCACCTTTCACAAGAATGCTGACATACCTTTTGAGGAAGAAATGGTTTTAAGAGCGCAAACGAGGACCTGTGGGGGCTGTGGCCAAGAACAGAGGCGTGACGCAAAAATATCTCTTTCCCAGTTGGTGCTTTACCCCTATAAACTTTGAAAATTCACTTGCTACCTTCTCTTTTGCCTGCAAGTTCCTCAGAGGGTTTCCTTTCCACCCCGTGCAGCTTTCCCGGGGTGAATAGTGGTGTCCCCAGGACTTCTTGGCCGTCGGGGAGGCTGGCAGACCCTCCCGGAGCCCCTTGCCATGGAGCACACGGGACACCGACCTGCTCTGCCTGCCTCAGCACTCACTGCCAGCTGGAGGCTTTACCCCTGGGTTCCTAATTTAGGTCTCTGCTTTGGGCCAGGAGCAAGCTGCACATCACACTTCCACGATCCCAGGTCCTGCCCAGACCAGCAGTGCAGCTGTACCCCTTCAGGCTGAGGAGGTGCCATGTGTGTCATCTCCACCTGCTTCCAAGGCAGGTGCTTTAGCCGTTAGTCTGCAATGGTCTGCGAATGGTCTTACTGGCACTAGGATCTTCTGGAAACCACATTTCCAAAAGAAATGGTGAGCTCTGCTCATTTATTCCTAATTTTCCAGAAAACTGGTGACTGTTAGTCCCAGGAGGAGAGACGTGCCTCTGTACAGCCTGTGGCCAAGTGACCAGGAAGATGAGGCAAGGCAGAAGATACATCTAGTGTCTTGCATTCCCGTATTCCCCAGTGGTTACCTTTACACACCTCCTTGATCTAACCATCCCAAAGTTTCCATATTAAAAGCTCCTGAGAAATACAGGTTCCAAACTCACAATGTCAGGTGTCAGGCACCTGCTACATGAAAACTGAAGGCATCTAGGTCACTTGCAGTATCTCATCTCATTTCTTTTGGTAGCCTTGGAGAAAACTTCACTACCAGGGAGCCAAATGCTCAGTTGTGTGATGACTACTCAGTTGTAACTCGAGCAGATCACCATTAATTTCCATTAGCTTTCCTGGTGGAGATGGTGAACTGCGCCTTGTAGAGCTGAGTGTGCACTGTGTTAACAAATTGAAACTATTAGCCATGGCAAATAGGCAATTTCAGAGCTACACAGATCGAGGGACCAAATAAATCTACTTTATTGATTCATTTGGATTACATGGGAGCTGTAATGTTTGATACTTCATTTTCCCATCGAAAACCAGTCAACAAGAAGGGCTATTATACCTTAGGCTTCCCTTTAACCAAATCCTTGCCAATAAACTGGACAAAACCAGAAAGAAAGTAGCTACAAACCTGCCTGTGTTTACTTCACAAAGTTTTGAGAAGACCCTACACTAGGTACCGGAGCAGCCAATGTGATCACACACACTACAGCGACAGCTGAAAGTGGTTGTTGTTAGACTGGGTGACACAGCAGAGAGAAGTATACTTTGAAAGAATAAAAAATACAGGAAACGTGCTTTGAATAAAAGCCCCCTTTAGGCACTGAGAGGTCACAATAAGGTCTCCCTGGAGCCTTCTCCAGGCTGAACCCCCCCAGCTCTCTCAGCCCGTCCTCCCAGCAGAGGGGCTCCAGCCCTCCCAGCATCTCCGTGGCCTCCTCTGGCCCCGCTCCAACAGGTCCATGTCCTTCTGCTGTTGGGGCTCCAGAGCTGGAGGCAGCACCCCACAGCAGAGCAGAGGGGCAGAATCACCTCCCTTGAATTGCTGGCCATGCTTTGATTTATGCAGCCCAGGATATGGTTGCCGGATCATATCGTTCATACCAGATGCTTAAGACTTTGTTTGTTTTCACAACCAGAATTGTAATGTTGGTATTAAATATAAAACTTACATTTCTGAACTGTCACTCAAGACTTCCCTAGCTCTGCTTTCAGTAATAGATAACAAGATAAAACCAGTGATATTTTAAAAAAACCCTTCCCAAATGCCAGCAAATGTTACCATGTGAAAGTCAAATATTTTCAAGCTATAGAACAAAGCAGAAAACTGTGTAGCGAGGCAGAGGAGTAAAATCTACAGCAGAGCGTTCCTGCTATTCCAAGAGTGCCTGGACAAGGGAATTGGGTGAAGCAGCTTTGGCCAGCGGTAGTGGAAGAACCACGTTCAGGAAGACCAGCTCATCAGTGCAGGTACCTCGGAGCAGAACTCCTCCTCCCGCTCCCCAGCACGGCGCCGCGAGGGTTCAGCATCTCACAGAGCAGCACGGGTTCATGCCAGCCCTTTGGGCACAGCCGTGAAAGGGCTTTTCAGAACAGCAATCCTGGGAGGGCTTTGTGTCAGTGCTTGTAGAGTGAGCACGTTTGCCATGATCTGCTCCGGGAGATGCTGCAGCTTGAACCCCCCCGAAGCTCGGGATGAGTATTGCCCTGCTGCAGAGCTAAGGCTTCAGAGGCAGTGCGTGCACTTATGTCAGGTTATAATCTTTTGCATTGCCTGCAAAATTAAAGCAGATGTTTGGAATGAATCTGTAGCTATGATTCTTTTATTTTTTTCAGAGAAAAAAGCTTTCACAGTCCTTATCACCTGCAAAATGGTCTTTGTGGCCAACATTAATACCATTAGTATAATTTACAATGAGAATTGTGAGGGGTGGAGCTAAATAAACATTGCCAAATAAACTGAAATATATTACACCAGCTTCAGTAAAAACCCTGTGAGTTAAGGAAAAAACCACCTCCTTGGTTGCCTTGTGACTTTAACTGGGCCTGCATCCAGCCCAGGTCTGATGAGCAGGATGTGCCAGGCAATGCATTTAGAAATATTCCAACAAGTATTTGAGTTGAGTGGGACAAGAATATAATGACAAGGCAGTTCTGGATGGGCTCTGGAAGCACATAGGAAGAGCTAGAGAGAAGCAAGAAAAACTGCAGGAGAGAGGCTGAACGTAAGGGCATTCCTTTTTCCCATTCCCAAATCCTTTCTGTATGACATTGGAACAATCTTCATCTAATTGGGTGAATGCAGCCTCATATGTGGCATTATTCCCTCTTGGATCAATACTTTTTTTGATTCAATACATTGAGGTTTTTGTTAAAGTTTCTCTTTCAGCTGCAGCATATACTGGAAAGAAAAATAGTTATTTAATATTTACTTGTGGCCAATTCCTTCTCAGTTTTCCATTCAATCCTTCCCCAGGCAAACTCCCACTGGTCCTTTTTTTGTAACTATACATTCTTATAAATTATTTGAAGCAAGTGAATATTTTATGGGGTGGGCAGAAAAGTAAGAAAAATATTATACTTTCTTATTATGTCACTGTTTTTTATATAAATCATATGAAGTGTGAGTGGCTTGCTATAAATCAAATGCACAAAAGTGTGAAAAATCCTGTGAGTGGCTTGCTATAAATCAAATGCACATGACACACATTTAAAGCATTTTGTTCCCATTTGGCAGCAGAATAGCCCATGCTACAGCTGGATGTAGGTAGGAGGCTCAAGCTGTGCCAGGGGAGGTTTAGGATGGATATTAGGAAAAATTTTTACATTGAAAGGGTTATTAAGCCTTGGAAGAGGCTG